AAAAAAAAAAAAAAAAAAAAAAAAAAAAAAAAAAAAAAAAAAAAAAAAAAAAAAAAAAAAAAGATCACCCTGAATAACTTTCAATGCAATGATCGGATCTTCACGTTTTAGTACTCAATCTTAATGGTTCGAAAAGGTGATCTAAAAATATGCTAATAAATTAGTGCATACAACATTTCAAGTTACAAAATCAGACATAAAAACGTACTCTCTCTTTTTTTTCAATAGATTCGGATTTATCACACCCACATTATAGGGGGTAGCCGCAATCTAGAAAATATGGTTCTCATAGTTTGGTCAGGTTCTCATAGTTTTTCGCCATATCTCGAAATGTTTTTTTAAGCGAATTAAAACATTTTTTCTCACCATTATAAAATTTCATCCAAAGATAATTCCATGTAAAAAATAAATTTCAGTAAATATTTATAATTTTTCATTATTTTATTTTATAATAGTTTAAAAAAATTCGGTTGAATAGTTCTTCAGAAATCGAATTTTAAAAACTATGTGAACCATATTTCCCAGATTGCTGCTACTCCCTATGTTTTGATGGTCAAAAATCCGAATCCGTTGGAGAAAGAAAAAGTACGTTTTATTCAGAGAAAATGAGACTTTGTATCTGATTTCATAACTTAAAATATCATCTGCACTAATTAATTAGCATATTTAAAGTCATCCCCGCTAATCATTAAGTCGAACAGTTTTCTAACCTTCTAAACACTCTTACATTACAATAAACGGAAAAAAAAAAAAAAAAACATTGTAGCAAAATGAAAAGAGAATTACTTTTTCCCATCATATTCTATTTGAAAGTTATTCTGGATCACTTATGGATAATGTGACGAAACTTTACATTACTTTCAATGCAATAATTCACTGCAAAAATTTTTCACAAATTAATTTAAGAATGGCCTTATATACTATTTGTCTAACGCATAGTAATTAGAGTAATTGCAAAGAATTTAGTTTGTTTGTAAACAATCTTTTAGTCGGGTTGGTAACCTCGTCAAGTCATATATTTGTTACTTTATAAATATACATACTTCATATACATTTACTCTACTGGAAAAACTTAAAGCAAACTATGTATTTATGGGCTTACTACTCTACATAGAGTGGTTAACGATTAAAAACTAAAACTTTCATAATATTTGATGTTTGATGATTTAGAAAACATTTTAAGGGTCTTGCCACGAGAAAGCTGGAACAAAGTGTAGTTTCATGTGAACTTTTCAATCAATTAAAAGGTGTGGAAAATAAATTTAAATCAATTTTACAATATAAATTTTGCGTTCTTTAATGAAAATCTATTTATCATTCTTAAATTTAGGTTGTTTTCGTAACTCATATCTGCGTAATCATTTTTATTTTCAGAAAGAAAAAAAAAGTCAGAGAAGTATTTATCAGTATCTTTTATGGAGACAAAAAAAATTTTTTAAGCAAAAATCTAGCTGGCATCCTCGCACATATGCGATCGTATGGAAATGCGATTCGCGCATGCGCTAGCAGTTCGTCATAAGAATGTTCCGCACATTGTAGAGCCCCTGATTAGTAGCCTTAGCACATTGTTGTCTTAGTTCATTTACGCCGCATTAAAGCTACACAATGGGCTATTGGCGTCGATCTTGGACACATCTCTGAGGATGATCCGAAGACATGCCATCACAATTTTGATCCTCTTCAGAAGGGATGGCACCCCCGGTTCGGTAGCACGATGCGCCCACTTAAAGCTTGGGGGGGGGATTTTTACACTAAATAAAATTAATAATTTGGGGGGGAGTTTAGACGAAAGAATTTTTTTTTAAGTACATGCGCCCAAGAGCTTGGGGGGATGGGGGCCACTGATAACCTACACGTGAAGTTAAGCACTTTAAGGTAGAACAGTTGAACTAGGACCAATACCGCACACCCTCAGTCCCTACGCCGACTAATCCAAGTGGTCATTCACCAGCACACTGACAGCAGCCAGTGATACTTGACTTGGGTGATCTGCTGGGACGAATCTTCCTCACGATATGAATGCCCACGCAAGCGTAATGATATTTAAGGCGCATACGGGTGATTTACATCCTAATATTTAACAATATGTAAGCTAAAAGTCATGTACTCAGAAAAGCCAAGCTCTTCTGCAAGTCTAATATTGCGTAATCTAATGTTTACATAATCAAACCGTGATAACCAACGAGTTGGGTGATAACTTCTGATACATAAAAAAGTCGCTCTTTCGTAATTCTATTATTTATTTTATTGCTTAAAGTGATATATAGTTTTATTTTTCTTGCTTAGGAGTGATAATACTCAGTTTTTGCAGTTATTAAGTAATTAGTTTGGTTAGTGGAATTTAAAAAAGAAATATTGAAACGAAACGACTTCCAATTAAAAACAAACAGTAAGAATTGTATTTAAAGTTACATTATTATTGGTTCTTGAGTTTTGATAACAATTTTGCAAATAAAGTCCGTTTAACGTTTTATTTTGGAAGGTTTAATGAAGGAATTTGTTTAATACTTACGGTTAACTTTTCAATTTGCTAAGAATAATCTTTTCATAAGTAATTTTGTGTATTTCTCCCCATCCCCTCCCTTTGAAAATTATGTTTGATTTTATATTTAAGTTTTTAAATAATATTTATTGAAACTATTAAATATACTGTGCAATAGAAATAATTTTTTTTTTTAAATAAAAAAAAATTAGCTCAAAATGAAAGTTTTCCTTTTTACATTAATATTTTGGTTGCTCTATCTGAAGTAAGTAAAATAATTTCTCAGATAATATATATTATATTTCAATATACTGTATTAGAAAGTATGGAGATAAAAATATGAATTTCATAAAAATTATCTCTCTGATGACCTCCATAGTCATTATCATTTTTTATTTAAAAACATTTGGTTTTTAAAATAGAAAAATGAAAATCTAAACAAAAATGGGATTAATTTTTGCTGTCATACTGAAAAAAAATACACATTCCTTAATTAATTTGTTTGATTGCTGGTGATTCCTTACTTTGATAAAAAAAATAGTTGCATGTATGCATTTCATGCATGTAGGTAATGAATGCATTTTGCTGTGTGTAAAAAAAAAATATTACTTATGAACCATTTATTGATAAATAAAATAAAAATTATTTTGACCATTTTTTATACCAACATAATTTATTATTAATTTATTTTGCGGTAGAGGTACAACATGGTGTGAATATTAGAAGCACCATGTTTACACACGAAAATGTACACAAAATGACATGGTGTTCCCATCACAATAACACCTTTAATCAGATAGATCATGCTTTGATCGATGTTAGACATCGCTTTAATCTCTTGGATGTTAGGACCTTCTGGACAGATATCTGTACCTATTTAAACTACTCTGCCACAAAGTGCTCGACTTCGTGCGCAGGTTGTACAGTTGCCAAAGCAGGGATGCCTTGGTCTCTGCAGAGGATCAAAATTGTGATGGCATGTCTTTGGATCATCCTTAGGGATGTTTCCCAGACCGTGTGCAGTTCATAGTCCTTTGTGCAGTTCTACTGCGATGTAAATAAAGTTCCTACCTTTCAATTTTAAGCTATAAGTTTCGTAATAAGCATAAACTAATGCCAGGTATTTCTCTTTCTCAGGTAAAATGTTAAAGACTGGTGAGAAAATCATGAAAATCGAAACTCACGACATGCACACCGGAGGTGAGCCTGTGCGAATCGTCGTTTCCGGCATGCCTGAACTGAAGGGTTCTACAATTTTGGAAAAGCGGGATTATGCACGAACTCATTTGGACGACTTCCGCAAATTAATAATGAACGAGCCGAGGGGTCACAAAGACATGTATGGTGCTATTATAAATCAAGTGGACCCATTTGACAAAGACATAGGGGCAATCTTCTTCCATAATGAAGGTTACAGTTCAATGTGTGGTCATGCTGTTATAGCTCTTGGCCGGTATGTATTAGATAGAGGATTGGTAAGGCCTACTTCTCCTGAAACTGAGATAGTATTTCACTGTCCTTGCGGACCTGTCAAAACTGTAGTCCAGTATAATAATGGTTTTAGTGGACGGGTTTCTTTCCGTAGTGTTCCTGCTTTTGTTTACAAACTTGGTATTTATTTTTATTTTCCTGAATGTCATGTCTAAGTCAATTACTTCTTATTTTGAAGCATTTCTTAACCCATATTTTTAGTGAAAATGTTGTATATATATATTGTGTATGTATATATATATATTCAGGGTTGCCACTCCGCAGGAAGAACAGAGAAAACCTGGAAAGTACAGGGAATTTAAAAATTACCTAAAATAATAGGGAAAATACATGGAATTTTGATTTTTTTCTGTACAAACTGGGAAAATACAGGGAATTTTGTTTCGTATCTTCGTCTTTTACAAAAATGGTGACCACTCAAAGCGTAATCTATGGGATATTTAACCATGATATTTTAAGTATGTAAACTACTTCATTTACTATAGCATTATTTAAGTATGTTCAGCTGTTTTTCCAGCAATTAAAACTAATAAATATAGTTAGCCCAATATAGCTCACACAAAAGCGCATTGATAGTGTGTTTCCTCTTAATACGTTGTGTATAATATGTATGGGGAAATTTTTTTCCAGATTTGAGTGGCAACCCTGATATTTAATGGTGGGTAGTTGGGTCTTTTTCCCATTGGTCTCAGAATTGCTACTCTTTTATCATTTCCCAGTGAGCACCTGTGGCTAAGTTACTGCGATGAAGTAGCCTTGACCATGTCATACAACCACAAACCCATTTATAGGGCAGTTTACATTCACACAGATTAATCCCTTAACGATCGGTTAATTTTTAAGAAAACGGTCATAAAAGTGCCTATTTTTTTTACTTTTGTATTTGTATTAAGTATTTGATTGTGCTGACATCTAGTTTAAAATAAACTATTTATAATTACTTTAAAAATATCCTGGTACTGCCATCTGGTATGTAAAATGAGAAATAAAATTTTTTCCGGGCGAAAGAAATGAAGCCCGTCAATATCACAGGAGCGATAAATAGAGGACGAAACCTCACCCCGTCATTTTCACGGGAGCGATAAGGAAGGGGTTAAAGGACAGAGAACATGGAGAGAGAGTTACATCCATACCTACGGTGGGATCCAAACCCACAACCACTGGCTGCCCGGTAGTCCACTACAGTAACGTTAGACCAGTGATCGGCTTTATATAAGAGGGGTAATTTTTTTAAATTTTCGTTGAAAAGGGAAATGAGTTTATAGTGACAGCTCTGAGAAGAGAAGTTGCTATATTTTCTTTACTAAAAAAATATATATGTTACCGTTCAAGTATGAAATTCGTTATTTTATAGAATACCTAGTTATTCCATGAAATAACTGATCGTGGCCGTTAAAGTGTAAAACTCTCTTGTATTTCATGGTTTAACTAGTTATTTCATAGAATAACGATCTGCAGTCCGTTAAAGTGTAAAACTCTCTTGTGTTTCATGATTTAACTAGTTATTTCATAAAATAACGATCTGCTAACTATCTGATAAATTGCTTCTTTTTCATTTTGATTGTCTAGCATTAGTTTATTTATAGAATGCCTAGTTATTTCATTTTAGATAAATTGTTTATTTTACACTTTAACTGTCTCTCATTAGTTAATTTATAGAATACCTAGTTATTTCATAGAATAACTAGTTAAAGTGTGAAATTAATAATATATTAAAGTATATAATGTAGTTATTTCATAGAATACCTAGTTATTCCATGAAATAACTGATCGTGTCCGTTAAAGGACACGATCAGTTATTTCATGGAATAACTAGGTATTCTATGAAATAACTACATTATATACTTTAACGGTAACATATACATGTAAAAAATAAAATAAAATTTAGAAAAAATTTGCATTTTTAATAAAAGATTATGTAAGGATAAGTGTGTGGGGGGAGTCAAATTTATATCAGACAAATTTTCTAATTTGGCTGACAGGAAGGAAGTGATGGTCTGAAAATATGTTTAGAGAATATTTCAACAGCTCTTAATCCTATTTTAAACATTCTAAGTATTGCACTAAAAATGTAGAAAATCATTTTTAGAAAATAAAATTTTTATTTTTAAAAACTTATTTGTAGAGTGAGAAAAATAGTTTTTTTTAAAAATAACATGTTAGTAAAGTTTTTTTTAAATCTTTTGTTAATTCTTTTGATTTGCTAGAAATTGCTAAGTATATGAAATACTAGTGCTTATGATTTAAATCAGATTTTTCAAATGTTTATTTTTACCATCGACGAACACGAGAAAAAATTTTTTGTTTTATGAATTTAAATCTTTAAGTTGGAGTATTTTGTGTGTTGTAGAATACAATAGTTTGTCTTTTTGGTGTTGTATTGTAAAGTATGCAAGTAAAATGTTTAAATAATGCAAGTAAAATCTTGATTATTTGAATTAAATGATCAAGAAGTTTTCCATATAAAATTGTATAATCCCTTTAACTGCTACAAAAAAATTTATTTTTTGTTTAATTTTATTTAATGAAAAAACATTACTCAGCAAGTAGTATAATCTAGCAGGACAGATAAAACTAGGGGGAAAAATTATATATCAAGAGAATTATAATATAAAATTATATGTTATCAACTAGTGAAGGTTTGCTCGTTCTTAAAATTTAAATATTTTAAACATACATTAACTTTCATATAAAAATTTCAAAATTGTTTATATCTTGGAAGTATTAAAAAAAAACTCATTACTGTAGTCAATAAATGTTTTTTTTTTCTTAAGTTTTATAAATTTCTTTGGAAATCTTGTTCCCTCTAGCATATTGTTGCCCTCTCCTTATTTTATGACTTCTTAAAATTTTGAAAAAGGGACTTCTGGGATTTTTTTTAAAACTTTTAAAGGATGACATTATAAACCCTCTAAACATCATTAACTTTTTCTTTTGCAGAGTATTTTTTTTTCTTAATTTTTTGTCTCAATTTCACAATTTTGTGTTCAACAAACTTTTCTCATATATTGTTCTTTTATTGAAAGAGATAAGGAGACAGAATTGAAAATTCCTAACATAGTTGGATAAATTTTTTTAAAGAATGTGTGAATATTTTAAAATTAATTTATAATGTTTTGCTTAAAGCCTTATGTCGGGATCTGCCATTGGCTGGTCTACCGTTGTAAACCAGAGGGTCATGGAGGTTTAGATTCTGGAATTTCGAAATCAACAACTAGATTGTGGTAATGTAATCAGAATTGCTCACAGGCCACCTTTACTTTCCAGTATTCATCAATCTGAAACTGGGTGAGCTTCAAGCTGCCTCTGAAGATTGAACCCCAGTCCTTCGTTTTGACAGCTCAGTCAGTATATTTAACCACTGAACCATCGCAGGTCATATTGAAGAAATCGATTTACAATTTCATTATTAATTCTCTGCTGCTTGAAGGATTTGTTTTAATGAATAATGACATACTGGGTTTAAAAACATTGTCTGGAGAGGTATATTGGTTCTACAAATAACATAAGAGCCCAATTTATGATTTAATCTGCTTTATTTATCATTTAATACTCATAATTTAATCTCCTCATATAATCTTGCAATAATTGAGAGAGAATATTTTAAGAGTTATTGTTATTTGATAATAAATCTTTTAGAAGTTCATGTTTTAACTTTCTATCGTTATGATATAAATTTTTTTGTTTTAGGCATTGATGTTAAAGTTCCTTCAATTGGAGTAACTAAAATTGACATTGCATTTGGTGGGGCATTTTATGCAATTGTTGAAGATAAAGCCCTTGGTTTAGACATTAAAGCTACACCTTTATCTGAAATTGTGAAATGTGCTTCTTCAATTACAGGTAATTTTGTTTTATACAATGTTACTAAATTTATGTTTCTTTAACTACTATATTAAATTAATATGTACTATCCTATTGCATTTGTTGAAGTTTTTAAAGTATATTTATATTTAATTTTGTCATTAGAGAGCTTTTGCATTACATTACATTAATGATAGTGTTAGTCTTATTTTCCACTCTTTAGTGATACTGCCCATGCTCAAGAATAGAGTATTCTATCTCATAAATAGCATCAAAATGCTCATTATTTAAGAAATGGAAACCAAAACATGCCTAAGTTTGTGTATAACTGACAAAATATTTCCTTTCTGGAAAATTTCATCTCTTTATTTTTTCCTTATGAAGATCTAGATTTTTTCCTTATGAAGATTTAAAGTATCATCAATGCTACAAAAAATAAATTTTCATTGCAGAATGGAATGTGTTGTGTGGCTTTGACAAGTACTCCTTTAGACTAAAAGTCTGGAGCTGTCATGGTAACAAGCAAGAGCACATTTCTAATGGGGGGGGGTGCAATGAAGAAATGAAGGTGTCTATTGGTTTACTCCTACTGACCTATGCAAAGATCAAGATAAAACTATTTACCTCACACCCCTATTCAAAGTAACTTTTCCTTGTAACCATGGTACCCTACTGAACTGCATCTGAAGCATTTTAAAAAAGAAAGTTGAATTTGAGAAAATAAATGCTTAAATCTCCTAAATTTTATTATTTTATTGTGAATATAAATCTTAAATGAAGCTTACTCTAATTGCAAATACTTGTATGTATACTATATATACTCCAATTTTACTATCACCAATTGCAATATATGTATACTATTATGTACACTTATTTTTTGTGATTCATTGCAGAGTGTAATAATTTCCAAAGAGTGCAAGAATGTGTAAATTTTGATTTCATAATAAAAATAAAACTACTAAACTTTTGTTTAGTGAGAACTGAAGATAGAAGTAAACATGAAAGTTGGCCTTTTATCGCCAACATTACCTACTTCTATTAATTCCTTCCTGAGTAGGTAATTCTTTCTTTACTGACTTTACTTTCGCAGCTAGTACTTGCTGAACAGAGTATAGTAGTATTTTTATTATGAAATTAAAATTTTCACTCTTAATATTAAAACAATTGCACTCTGCAATCCATCAAAGTAAGAGTACATATCATATACATATATTGTAGTTAGACTAAGCTTCATTAAGAATATTTCAATAAAATTAAGAAAATATTAAATGTTAAGCACTCACTTTCTCAGGTTCGACCTGTTTTTTAAGGAGAGTTCTAAAATACTTCAGAAATAGTTCCAAAATAATCCTGCCCACCCTGCATTGAAATTAGTTTTAGTAGCATTGATTACATTTGCATGCACACCTTTCCAACACATTTACTAAAGCTAAAATAATTTCAATTTTTATTTATTTATTTTTTGCCCTTATAAGTAGCTTTGCATTATTAGATTATGCAAACCAGTTTTTAGTTGTTATATATATATATATATATATATACACAGTAGGGAACCGATTATCCGGAACGATCGGGACCATCGCTATTCCGNAATGTACTGTATATATATATATATATATATATATATATATATTCAGTATCATTTGACATGATGCTGTTGCTGACTCATGATAGTCAGAATTTACTACAATCAAATAATTTTCTCCTGTACTTATCCATTTCTACAGTATCTATATTTAAACTACACAACATTGGTAAAGTTTTAATAGGCATCAAATATATTTTTATTAATATAACAGTTATTTTTAGTTTTTTAGTTTAATAGGCATCAAATCAAGTTTTAATAGGCATCAAGTTTTAATAGGCATCAAATATATTTTTATTAATATAACAGTTATTTTTATTAATATAACAGATTAATATAACAGTTTTTACCTATATTAGTATATTTGGTATCTATTTAAATTGCACCAATTACAGTAATACCAGTAGTGCCTATTATCAAAATTAATTAAGCATCATTGACGTTAATACTAATATGGTGATTTTTTTAAGGCCAATATAAAGAAAAAGCTTTTGGAAATTTTAGCTACCATCAAATTTGCTTTTTACTGCATTTTTTTAATTTTAATTAGAACCTGTTACTAAAATTAATTGAGCATAATGAGTGGTGATTTTTTATGTTTCTCTTAATTGAAATAGTACCATTTCTCCATTTTAGTGCCTTTTTTTATTTCAATAAGTATCTATTACTAAGTTCTATTCCATGATTAATAAATTTTAGAATATTTTGCGCCAGGCCCCCAATTAGGTTAAGTCGAGCCCTAGGCGATATGGCTCCTCTGGTGGTAGATGAATATTCAAAAGGGGAAAAAATGCAATTAGTAATAAAAAAGCCAGCGAATCGCACCTCATCTGGGTTCCGTCCACATATTTAGTAGAAAGAAGATTTTGTTCCATCGTCCAGCTTCTCACAAAACTAAGTAGATTGGACATTAGCTTAAAAGGAGACCTGTGCTTAAATTTGATGAACAAAAATCCTGATATTGAAGCTCTAACTGAAATCCACTGAGTACAAGGCATTCATTGGAAGAGTAAAAATTAGCAATAAAGTTTTCAAATTTTCAGTTTTTTTTATCACTGTTTAGTTGTTAATGCTTTCAATTTTTCCAGATTACGTTTTTAAAAAAGTAATTTTTAAAAAAATGTACTCTTGTTTCAATTATTTAGCTTCAAATATCACATCTTTTTGAAAAAAAAGTGAAAGGGATGCACATTTGCTTTTTTTAATTTTCTTTGGCGATTGGATAAAGTTGCTTCATTATTTACATTTTAATTTAAATTATAATCAGATAATTATATTCAAATTTATTGATGTTCACTTGCAACAATGTATACTTTTTGTTCAATCAAAGAGAAAAAGGGGGTGATAAATGTCAGCCAACTTCTAGAGGGGGCGTTGGGCAACAAACAGTTGGGAACCACTGCTTTAAATGTATTTGCCGATCACTGGTCTAGTGGTTATTGTACTGGAATACAGGGCCTGTGGTTGTAGGTTCAAATACCCACTGTAGACATGGATGTAACTTTCTCTCTCTCCCTTTCTTCTGTGTAATTGTGTGAATGTAACCTGCCCTATAATCGGGATCGTGGTTGTTTGATGCCACTCCACCGCCCTGTCATAGCCACAGATGCCCACTGGGAACAGTAAGAGAGTAGAATTTCTGAGGCCAATGGGAAATAGACCTAATGCTTTCATATTTATTGTAAGAACTGAATAATAAACTCAATAATATCTTCATTATGAATCACAGTAGAATTTTCAGAAGTAAATTATTGTATACCACTTCTGTGTAGCAAAATTTTGTAAACTTTTGTATTTTGCACTAATGTGAAGAAAAAAAAACACACTAATTCTGTGGTTATGGGTACTGAGTTGTCATTGTAAGCAACTGAGGTTTGATCCTCAGTGTTAAGTTTAAGCTTACCCAATTTTAGATTTATGGTTGCCAGCTTATCTAAGGAGTAACGGGGATTTGTTCGTAAAGCTAACCACAGTTGTGTCGTTGGTCACAAAATTGTGGAGCCTTAAGACTGCTGGTCCACAATATGCTGTTGTAGGAATGCTTTGCTTTGAAAAAGTTAAACCTTTAAAAATATTTTATCATTTTATGGTGTCTGTCTCATTCGATAATTTCATGCTGTTTTCATAATTTTATATTCTGTGTGGATTTTTTGTGAGTTATTAAAAGTGTTATTATTTTGCAGAATATGTCAAAAAGCAGGTACCAATAGTTCATCCTTTTGAGAAAGATTTGAGTTTCTTATATGGTACTATTATCACGGATGGAAATGATAACTATGAAGATGGGCCATCTACTAACATTTGCGTTTTTGCAGATAAGGAGGTATAAAGTTTTTTTCTTCTTGTTGGTCAACTGATGAAGGTTTTAAAATGTCATTTAATAATTCTCCTAGTCAATTTTGACTTATTTTAGCCATCAACATAAAAAAAAGAAGGGTGGTCAGGTTTCAAAGCTTTTGCTCCCTTTTTGTACTTAAACAAGATCAGCTTGACAAGTTTCACTGTACTGTTATTTTTTTACTGATGTACTATTTGGTAATTATGAGATAAGACTCTTATGTAACTGAAAGCAAACTCACTAAGAGCTCATATTGTGATAGAGATCTTGTAATCAATGCCTTACTGAAGCATTCTCCAAAGTTACTTCAGTTTTTTTTTCATACAATTTAATCGAAAATTGTAATTGCTGAAAATTTTGTGCATTAAATATATTTATTTTCGTTCAAATCAGGTGTTTTTTCCTCTTAGTTCGGGTCCTGAAAATATTTAATTTCTAAAGAAATGTTATATTAATTATATTTGTCTTTTTTTTTAAACTTAAAAATTTGTAAAACTTTTTCATCATATTTTTGAATATAAATAACACTAATAAACATTCATACAAATAGTAATAAATATTTAATGACCCTCTTTCCTATAATTTATAAAGTCAGAAAAACAATTGTAGCAGAAAAAAAAATTATAAAATTTTTTTGGTATGTGTGTTAGAAGGATAGCTCTTCATTAGGGGACACTCTGCCTGCTAACACACTGGAGCCTTTCTGTAGTCAGTGGTGAAACCAAAAACTGACAGTACCCTGAGGCCCCATAATGGAAAGTCAAGTAAGAAAAAGTAATTAGAAAAATTGAAATGTAAATGCTAAGATAAATAAATGACAAACAATCACAAATATAAGTATTAATATTTTTACTTATTAAAGGTTTTTCTGTTTTATTTATTCAAGATTTTCAGAAAAGGGGATTAGCACTTGATTTATTTCTACAGTTTTCTTAATGATTTGACAATTTAAATGTTATTCTGATTAACTGTAACTATATCTTTATTTATTTTTCTTATTTGTAGGCTTTTCTTATTTTGTGTACTTTTAAATCATTATTAAGACTTACTTTGTGATTGTTTGTCATTTATTTATCTTTGCATTTACATTTCAATTTTTCTAATTACTTTTTCTTACTTGACTTTCCATTATGGGGCCTCGGGGTACTGTTAGTTTTTGGTTTCACTACTGACAACAGAAAGGCTCCTGTGTGTTAGCAGACAGTGTGTCCCCTGATGAAGAGCTATCCTGCTAACACACATGTGTAAAAATTTTTATATTTTATGTTTTCTTGACTTTCTAAATTAAAATAAAACAAATTTGGATTTAGCTGCTTTAAGCGCTTTTCTATTTTGATTATTATTTTAAATATTATTTTAAATTTTATTTTAAATGTTACTTATTTTGTCTTTTTCTGAATTTGTAAATTAGTTTCATTCTTTGATTAGATCTCTTTCCTTTAAATCACATGAAATTTTACTTACTATTATTGTTATTTTTCAATACGATAATAATAAACCTCCTACTGCTGAAAAAATATAATTATACGAATATTATATTTCATCTCCTTCATTATTTCCATAACTAAAGTATTTAATAATATTAATAATAAATATTCATAAGCTATGTTCTTAAAGTCAATGAACATTTCCCCCTTCTTTTGTCTTTATTGTTATTGTAGATAAAATATTTAATCACAAAAAATTTTATGCATGAACTCTATTTGGCATGAAATATTATTTATAATTTTTTTCAATACTTTTCTTGCAAAAAAATTGATGTTACAAGATTTTAATTTATTGATTTTATGTAAGAAATTAATTTAAAATTTTTTTTATTCTAGTTTCTTTAAATTACGTAAAAAAATTTAATTTATTAATTTTTTTATAATCTCTTTTCTTGTAAGCGTGCAAAAATCCCATTTTTACATCCCATTTTCCTTCAAAGTTGTGTCAAGTAGGTACAACAACTTCCGCGCCTATCACCTGAACACGAAAGAGCTATAGTGGTTTGAACAGGCTTAGGTAGGATTTATGTTCTTTGAGTTAATACCCTTATATGATTCTCCCCTGCAAATTCCTGGTTTTGTGGGAACTTTTATTTCCTCTTTCTAATATGTGCATGGTGTATTTTTGCTTCGACTCCAATTTAATTTATTAATAATCTTATACGTTATTTAAACAATTTAATTCCTCTTGTTTTCCAGCTCTCAGCAAATTCGTTGGGAACTAACCTTGCTTTCTTTTCTATATTAATAACAAAAATGTTGCTAATCAAATCAAATTTAATTTTTTAATGTTTTAGATTTTCCCCAGATTTATTTGACCAAACATTTATTTGATACTTCAGATGAAATATTCTCTATAATTATTCATTTTAAATATTCCTTTTGCAAAGTGCATTCTTTTTACAAAGTTATTATTCAAAATGTTAGCTATGCATTAAAAATTTTGATAACTATTTTAGTGTATTAGCTTCTTTAATCTTAACTAAGATAAAATTATCTTTAATATTTTATTATTTACAATATTCTTGATAAAAAAGTTTTTAAGCTAAAAATATTGTGCATTTTACCATTTTTTAACCATATGCAGTTTTCCACCTTATTCATTTACTGAAGAATTTAATAGCTTAAGTTTTATGTATAAGTTTTTTTCTTTCTTAAATGACCTTAAAAAATTTATCACTGCAATAACCCAGATTTTTAATTAATAATCACAAATTTTATTTTTTAATTTTACTAAAAATTATCTTTAAATAAACAAATTTTATGATTGATTGTGTGTAAAATTTTTTCAATTTGCTTAAGAAGTTGTTGAGATATAGCGAAATACACAAAAAGTAAAATTAACATTAAGGGGTCCAAACTTTGGATCGCTCTCTTGACCAACCTATTTGGACCATATTCCCCGGATTGCGGCTGCCCCCTATATTTTGATAATCTTAAATCCGAATCCGTTTAAAAAAAGGTATGTTTATTCAGAAAGTACGTTTTTGTGTCTGATTTTGTAACTTAAAATATTGTTTGCACTTATTTTTTAGCATATTTTAGATCACCTCCTCGAACCATTAAGAATGAGTCCTAGAACATGGACATGCTATCATTAGATCAAAAGTTATTCAGGGTGGTCTATTTTTTTGCGTACTGTACATCTTTTGTTGAAAAATTACTACTAAAATATCATACAATAACTAAAATTTCTGAAATAAATGTTTTTTAAAATTTTATTTATTTTGCATATACTATTGCTGCTACTAAACATTTGACCAAAAAGTATTTAATGCATTAACTCTATTGCTATTTATAAAGATATATTTATTATTTCAAAACAAATTTTTTGCTTTAAAAAATAAGTTTAAAATTTTTCTTACCCTTTCGACTATTGAGCACGAGCAAATTTCTTTGACCACATTTCCATTCGTTTTTTTATTTTCTTCAATTAAATTCTAAAAAGTGCCTAAAAACTTAAAGGTGCTTATTTTTGATTTAAATTTTTTAAAAGCCCTTGAAGGTGCTTTTTTATTCGAGGTTTGTAAAAAAATGGTTAATTTTCTATCTTTTAAAAAGAGATTTTTTTCTTCGCCGTGTCGACTGTCGTTCTAAATTTAAAAAAAAAAAAAATACATGACTTTCACAATTTTCTCTGCAATATTTGTCACAAACTAGTTTTTATATCATAATTTTTAGAAGTATGTGAAAATGTTGATACTATATTCATAAATTGAATTTTATTGATATTATGTTCAGAAATTAAGAACTTTAAATGATAGAAAAAATAATTTTTATTGCTGCACAGATCCTAATTATGATTTCTTTTCTAAAAGGATTAAACTATTTTTTAAGCGCTTAAAAAATACTTAAAAGATTTTTATTTTTCGTTGGCTATGCACCCTGAATTAAATTGTTAACTTTTAGGTGGATCGGAGTGCAACTGGATCAGGTGTAACAGCTCGAATCGCTCTTCAGTTTAAAAAAAGGAAGATGACACTGAATCAATCAAAAGAATTTAGAAGTTTGATAGGAACTGCATTCTCAGGGAAGGCTGTTGAGGAGACAATATTTTCTGAATATAAATCTGTCATTGTTGAAGTATCTGGTATGGCATATCACACTGGATCTCACACTTTTTACTTAGAGAAAGGTGACCCTCTAGGAACAGGATTTCAACTAGATCGATAATCATTGTTTGTTATTAAGGAGTCATATCACAAGTCTCTTTTTTTTTTTGGGTAAAAGTTTTTTTTCTTATGCATATTAAGTTTTAAAATATTTTAGTTTCTCAATATTTGTCTTTTTTCATATAATTTTAAAAGAAGTCGAAAATAACTTTTATAATATTACAGGGTGTGAAGCGTTTTTGAAAAGTGCTTATGTTGGATTTATGTTTTTTGAAAAAAAAACTTTAAAGGTGCTTTTTTTTTCAATTCGGTATTTGTAAAAAGTGCTAACTTTTAAAAAGAGATTTTTCTTTTCTGTGTCGATTGTCGTTCTAAATTACAAAATTTTCACAATTTTCTCTGCAATATTTATAACAAACTAGTTATTTTATCATGATTATGTAAAGTTTTCGAAAACGGTTTTGAATATTACTGATTTTATGTTTAAAAATTAAGAACTTTAAAGATAGGAAGAAAAAAAAATTATTACTGCAAAGATCCTAATTATGATTTTTTTTTTGGAAAGTGATTAAAAATATATTTTGAGGGCTTAAAAAATATTTAAAAGGTGCTTATTTTTTGTTGAAAAATCTGACTACCACACTCAGTATTAATTTAATATTGAAAATCTGTTTAATATTTTATATCATGTTACACTACACACATTCCTTCACATTTATGAATAGTTCCTGATAAATAACAGTTTCATAGTCCAGTTTTTTATTAAAATTAATTACTAATCTTTTTTTAAAAAAGGGGTACTTCGCAACTTCTTCCGCTTTTAATAAGATTTTTTTTTAATATTTTTAGTTACAGTAATTTTTATGCTTCACCTTTTTGTATTTGATTTATAATGATTTAGTCCAGTGTTTCCCAAACTTTTGTGTACCCTTTCTAAATTTTTTGTAACGCTGTGTACCACTAATAAAGAAAATGAATGTATTTTTTACTATAAAAAAGTTGCACAGAAGTTAAAAATCACTACAGACTGTCGACACCACCAATTACGAACTGTTAACTCTGCAAAAAATAGCCAATAGAAAAGTACGTAATCGTAAATTGTCCTATCTAGCTTTCTTTTTAATTTTGCTTTAAAATTTTCGCTTGTTGCAAGATAGAACGTGTACTATACTTTAGGAAACACTGATTTAGTCCATAATTGTAAATAATTTAAAGTAATAATAAGTCTGTTGTTCAGTGAAATTTTATTGTAAGCATAATCTTAGTTGTTAATTGGCTATCACTATATACGCTACCCTACAATAATTGAAGAAACACTTTCAGTTTTGTTTTTTTAAATCTCTCAAACTTAACAATAAAGTTCAAAGCTTTCAGAAGTTTGAGGGATCAAAAGCAGTTCATGAACATTTTACATCAGAAAATATAACAATAAGCTTGTATGGATATTCTTTTATTATATGCTTTTCGTGAGCCCTGCTTAAATATTGAGGAATATTATATTAAAAAAAAACTAAGTTTTTTTTTGTCTTATGTTTCTCGCTATAACTTTAAAAAAAATTTGGAGCAATTTTTAATTCATATGTAAATAATTTGAAAAGATTTTATTAGAAATTGCACAAGACGTGAGCTTTTAAAGTAATTCTTTCATACGGCAACTAAGCAGAAAACATCTAAAATAAATTTCCAACTTTTGTATTTGGTAGCTACTGAAAAAAGTCCAATTTTAGTATCTTGAAAATTTGAAAAGTTACTACCAATTTGTTAAGGGGTTTTACACAAATTTTATTTTATACCATTTAACTATATTTATTAAAAATGATGCCGACATAATAGAAAACAATCCTCTGTTAAAGTATGTTTTCTTTTTTTGTAAAGAGAATCATTTTAGAGCATTACAATTTGACACAAAATGATATTTGTGAAAAACCCTTGAAGCTTTCTTTAAAAATTTACAGAAACTTTTTATATGTTTAAGCTATTCAAATCTGACTTTTATTAATTACCAAATACAATTCACTACAAAATTGAAATATTTTTCTGTTTATGAGCAGTATGAAATAACTACTTTGAATGCTCATACTTTGTTTCATTTTCAATGAAATTGCTTAAAAAAAGGTAAGACAAAAATTACTTTTTTAAGAATCTCCATAAATAGTTAAGCGGGGATTACAAAACTTTATGCAGTTATTACATGTAATAACCAAAGTAATTGATATTATTTATAAGTTTATTGCCGATCCCTCTAACCTCTGAAAGTTTTAAACTTTATTGATAAGTAGGAGAAATCAAGAGACCTAAACAGCGATAAAATAATTCTCTTAAGTATTTTGTGAGAAATTTAAAATAAAGTCAATTATTGTATGGTAGTGTATATGGATGTCTATGGTCAACAGAGTGATAATTAATAAAAAAAGTTTAAAGATTCAAAATAATTTTACTAGTGCTTTTGTAAGCAAACTTTTATTGAACAAGAAATGATAAAAACAACAATGAAGAAAAAGCTTCAAAATGAATGTAATATTCCTTAACAATAGTTACAACATAAATATACTTCCATTTCATAAAAACAATAACTGCATCATTTTTCAAGTTAAATAGATAAAAAAGAGAATTGTCAAGGCACTAATTTCAAACATCTTTTCATCATTTCTTTTATAACTTAAGGCATTTTTTGTTTATTTACAGCAATATCTAATTAGCAGCTTTTTGTAATTCATAAGTACTACAGCACTTTCTATGCAAGTCTATTGCAATCTGAAGTAAAAAATTAGAATTTCTTTTTAAGTATACTTATCACATGATTCATTTATTTTTTTTTATACCTACTAAAATATTTTGTCTACTGAATATATATTTTTTATAAAACTAGCTTATGATGTGTTCATTTTTGTCTTGTGTCATAGAAATTATTTTTCAATTTATAATAACATGTGTTACTTATAGATTTTTCTTTAATTGTACTATGACTTTTGATAGAGTAAAACAAATTTAAAATATTTCAATGTTGTGCTTTTGTTTAACTGGTAAAACTGCTAAAATGTGTTGACAATGAAAGCAAATTAGTACATGATTAAAGAATGGTCACATAGGTATAAATTGAAGCAAAGTAATGACAATACTGAAAGGAATGAATGATAAAAGTAATTGAAAATTACTTTTATCAATTTTACTGAATTAAAAGTTTAATCTTACTTCATGTCAGAAGTTCTCTTAAGAGATGAATTGTAAGTCATACAGTCGACATAATTGTACCACAGTTCTATATCATGTGCAAGAATTAAAAATCTTCCACACTCTTATAATCACTTTTAATACCTGTACAATATTTAATAAAATATTACCTAGAATGAGTTTGAGAAGAAACATTTAGGAAAGACTGATTTTGAGAGTAGCTAATACTGAAACTTCATGGAAGAAAGGAAGCACAGAGATTCAAAACTGAAAGCATACATTGAAATTGGCAAGAAAATATGACACATGAAAAAATAATGTAGACTCCTGTGTTGTCTTATTAACTGTACATTGTCTTTTCAACCCACTGAAAAGAAATAATCATCATTACAAACTACTATAGAGGACAATTTGAACTGAAACAGATTATATCAATTGATCGGTGATTATCTGGTGCTTTTTCTTTAACCAGGCTCAGGTTAATTAAGTTATTTTTTTTATTTAAAAAAAATGACAGTTACCTAATACTTGTTGAATTTGCCTGCTTCCATTTTCAAAATTATGAAACTACAAGCATGCAGAGCTACTCCTATGTGGGGTGTTGCCTTTCTTTCACAGGTTTAGAAACATTGAGTCGGTATTTTTCAGAAACGGATACAGCTGACAAAATTTATTTTTGATTTCATAATTTAGTAATGGTAAATAAAATATGTATTACTTTTCTAATAACGAAATGCATTTAAAACTATTTCAACACTTTAAGTTTGCCACACTTTGTATTAAGTTTTATTTTATAACATTCAATTTTCTTCGTTAGTTGGAATTTTTTTTTTTTTGCCTTGAAGTTACCAATTATACACGATTGAGAAGAGAAAAAGTTTCAGTGTGGAATATACGGGCAATGGAACTTTAAAAAAAAACATCATTATAAGGAAGATCAAGTAAGAGCATGCCAGACAATGTCACTTTATATTTTAAAAAAAAGTGATGAGATAATTAGCATTATTTTATTTCATTTCATAACCATCGGTGGAACAGCCGACCCAATTTTGGGCATACTACTACTAATGTTAGCCTTGTAATTTAAAGCCCAATCCAGAAGACAAGGAAACTCCTGGATCAAGCATTGGGAGAAATTTGCAGGGTATCCACGCACCTGGAAAGTCATGAAAAATCATGGAAAGTTATGAATTTTGTTGGTATTAAACAAAATTTGTCATGAAATGTCATGATTTTAACTATTTTTTCAAAAAAAGTCATGAATTTAGGTCACCAAAAAATCCAATTATTAAAATGGAATTTACCCCTCCCCCAATTTCTTGGTGCGCCGAATATCTGAATTTGTAACAAACTCCCCACCCCCAGTCATATTTATTAAAGTATAAAATGTTTTTTATCATGTTCTTTAAAAATTTTGTTCTTCCAAAAAATGAAGAAAAAAAACCTCATTTCTGGTCCAAATTATCTTTTAAACTTCTGTGATTTTCAAGTTTTTATTATTTATTTTTTTATTTTATCAATTTAAAATTCTAGCTGAAGCAAGCCAGTGATTGGCGAGTTATTTTTATTCCGAAATGAGAACAGAAAAATCTTTACTTTCCCTTGAACAAGAAAAGTATCTTTAGAATATAATTCTGCAGAAAAAAGAAAAAAAATTACTTTTGGGTTATTTTATTGCTTTAAATCTTTATTTTCTCTGTTTTTAAATTAAAAATCTATAAATATGAAGATGCAGAGTATAACAGTTTTGGTTACTCCTATCATTTTAATTAATGTTATGATGCTTATTTAAATTTACTATAGTGTTTTTGTCGGAGAAATTAGCAACTTCGTAAAGTCATGAAAAATTCTTGGTATTAGTCATGGAAAGTCATGAATTTGAAAATCTAAAATGTACCAGATACCCTGAATTTGCCTTTGTGGAGGACTTTCTGATGGAACTAACCCGCATCTACGTTACATGGAGAGGAAGACCACGAGAACCTCCCGCGGTTAGCTTGACAGCAAAGGAACTCTAACCCATGATCATTGATGATATTTCACGTCAGCGCTGTGGTCGATGCAAGCTATCGGTGCGATTCGAACTCGGTTCACCTCATTGGAAGGCGAACGCTCTACCCCCTGAGCCATCGCGGCTCAAATAGCAATATTGCAGCTTTTGTAATCTTTTTTACGTGGTTGGGAGATTAGCCCCTACACGCAGCCTTCCTTCTTTGCTCTGGTTTAGGACCAGCATAGAGATGGGCAAAGTCCCACAAATGGCAGGGGACTTGTAGTTAGCTGATGACAACTTTCTAATGTCTCCAAGATTTTCAGGACATTTAAGGAAAAAACTGAAGTCCAAAAGTAATTGAAGAAATTAAACAAATTGCAAATTATTGGCAAATTCAAAGGAAATTGATGAGACAAATACTTTTTTTCGTACCTTGGAGAAATTATTAGTACTCGTGGTGATACTGACGAGGACATTAAAAACAGGATTAAAAAGGCACTGAACACTTCCAGAATGCTTTTCAAGGTATGGAAATCACAATGTTTGAATTTGAAATTAAAAATACATTTATTTAATGTAAAAGTGAAATATGTTCTGCTATATATGGCAACAAAATTTGGAAGTAAAACGAAACAGGAGGGAAACAATGGCATTTTAATTTGGTTGCTTGTTGGCTATTTATTGCTAAATTCACTTGGATCATTCTTCCGGTTAAAAAAACACTCAGTAGTTGTTACTTGGATTCTTTATCCTCTGAAATCTTCGAAATTAAAAGACTTAATTAATGAATGTTGTATATTTAAATAAGAATAAAATAAAAACTATCTCTGATAAAACTTAATTTTTTTTCTTCAAAATGTTACTCATGCTCTTCATCCACTCAGCTCTTCATATGTTCTTAAATATGTTGTATCAAATAAGGGACCATTCAAACATTATATAATAGAGGGGTTTTGCTGCCTAAGGGTGTAGGGGTATGAACAATATTATTTTAAGACACTAAAATGTCTTTACTCAAATGCAAGTTAGTTTCTCTCAAAAAGTCATCGAAGAAGACAAGTTTGTTCCAATGCTTGGTCTTAGAATTCCTTTCTTTGTCTTCTGAGTAGGGTTCAAAATGACAAAGCTACAAGTTTGATCATTGATAATTGCAAACTCAATATAAATCATCAGCTAACTAAAATAGAGTATTGTGAGCTAAGTTAGGAAAAAGTAGATGTTTTATTCCTTTTAGCTTCACACAGAAATTTATTTTATTTAGTTGTATATCCAGTGTAAAACAACCGAAACATGTAGCGTAATGCAGATCTGGTTGTAATTTTGAATCTAACCTAAAAGACCAAGGAACCGATAGTCATGACAGACTTGCCTTTCTAGAGGGCGTTTGGAATGAAAAAGTAGTAATAAAGGAATATTGTGTATGGAACTTTTGATTAACCACTTAACTCATTTATCTGTTGTTTTTTTTTTCTACCCACTGTACATTAGTTTTATGTAAATTTACCCCTAACAAAAAAGTTAAATTATTAAGTTAAAATTTCAATAAAAAAATACTTATTACAAAAATCCTTATGACGATCATTCATCATTACCTCGCTTGTATTTTGTTGAAAAATTGATAAATTTTAAGTTAATAAAAAAAATTTCTATCATCGCAACAACAAGCAGGATTTCGATGTATTGAGTTTTTGTGGAATACATTCACTATTTTCTTAATTAAACTGAATGTATTAAATAGGCAATAAGGTTAATTTTGTCCAGAAGGCGTTTTAAGTATACAAAACTCTAGATTTATCTTTGGCTATATATTTATAGATAACACTTACCTCGTCTAATGTAAAAGTAGCTCTCATCGTTTTACGAGGATCCCGTTCTTGGAAAGTTTCTAAAAAGAGAAATAATGCGTCATTAAATCAAAAGAGGTGTTCGATAATTGCTACTACTAATAACAGGATGATTCAGTGCAGTGTTAATAAATTCAGAGGGGAGGATCCTAATTATGAACATCCTGTTCGTGGGCATTTGTTGGTAATTTCATTTATTTAAATCATCATAATTGCAGGTTATAATTAATATCGATAATTGTATTCAAACAGGCTGGGAAATAGCTGTTTCATGGCAATTTAATGCCTTAAGCGATTGCTTCAACAAGCTCGCCAAATCATTAAATTACGATAAAACAGCAATTTTTGAATGCAGTTTTTTTACGAAAATTTGTCGAAAATATATAATTAAATAATTTAGATGCATAAAAAGTACCAATTCAAATGCACAGGAACTAGGGCAGTACAGCTAGCGGCGCATGATGAAATTTCAGGTTATAAGTTGCTATGCGATTCTTTAATCCTTAAGAGGAACGTTATACAACGACTTTTCGTCTCAAATTTTATTTCATTTCCATAAGTAATTTAAAGTATAGAAAAAGTGAGTTCAGGCTAGAGTAAGCAATGAAGTTTCAAATTGCGAACAGGATTTTTCAAAATGAAAAATTATGAGAGGATTACGCAATGAAGTTCTCTTCCAATAATTTGTTTGCATTTTGGTATTTCGAAATTTTTTTTCAGCAATTGAAACTTTGTGACTTCATGTTTGCTCATTTTCAAATTATTTATGGAAATGAAATAAAATTTGCGTTAAAAAGTTTCTTTCGCGTTAGGGGTCTCTTAAATTAGTGACCTCCCAATCTCTTGATGTTTGTTGTTGCTTATTCCATTCGCCAATGCCAGCAAACCTGCTTGAAATCAAGCTAATTTTTAAGGCAGAAGGTGCCATCTATATAGCCACGAATACTACTTCAGTCACACACACGTCACATCTCGTTTTACAGGGAGGACCCGACCATAATTGTGACTTGAACCATAGAACGACCCATCTCCAATTTAATACCCTTAGAGAATTGTTATGGGAACTTGGGGGACTTTGTAACTCAGACAGATTTAACGCACACAGTCACAATTTAGTACACTGCGATTCTTCGCCCGATGAGATTCGAACTTCTGTTCTCACGAGCCCACCGTCCTACCTACCAGGCTATCCCGGCATACAGCTGTATTGATTTACTCTTCTCGTTCGAAAATTCTCGTCAAGATCAAAACCTTACAAAATTATATCTAAACCGTTATTTGCGAGGTTTTTATGTAACTCATTTTAAGATGGCTAATTTGAGTATTGATTGTATCAAACACTGCTAAATTGATTTTTTTAAAAAGGACTAAAAAATGTAATGGCTTGAGCAGAGTTTGTTCTAAACGAGACTTACCAATCATAGTCTTCAGTTTGACGGCGCACATAATGAAATCGTCAAAAGTGACTTTTCCTTTCTTTCCATAGCGCAGCACCAAAGCTCTCAGAACATGGAAATTTAAGCGATAACCTGAAAACATAATTTAATCTTAATTTCTTTTAAAGGTACTTAAAGAACTTCACTTTATACTCAGTTAAATTTCATTAAAAACAAATCATAACAATACATTACAAACTATATTACTGTCTTAAAAATTATCGATTCACACTTATGATTCAAATTCATCTAAAATGAATTCGAAGTGTATCATTAACTACTGAAAAAACAGTCAAAAAATCAATCCATTTTGCACTTTTACTTAAGCTTCCATGCGCTGTCGTATGTAATATGCAATGTATTTAGATGCTACGTATTTTTACGTTATGTTGACGTGATTTACGCTACAAAGACAAAGCTACAACCACGCTGTTTATAGCTGCTAAATGTTGTTTTCTGTTTAAGCAGACCTTCAAACTAAAAAAATGGGCATTGATTGCGAATTTGATAATATGTAATGATGAAATTTAGAAATGAATCGTGCTATATATTACTACTAACTTACCCGTGTAGTTTAAAGCAAACTACTGTAAGTTATGGTTATTTGTGGACCTCATGTATAAACTAAATTTCTTCAATCTTTGACCACAAATTTACATAATAAGCTTCATTCTTTATTGCTGAATTCATTAAAATCTACGAAATTTTTCTACTCATAGAACAGCAGTTTTACCTAGAGTCGTATGCCACTGCTTTGTTGTCCAAGTCCATTGTATATCTTTGTTTTGATTTTGTGATCAAAGTTAAAATGATATTCCACTACGTTAGCTTCGTTTTAACTTCTTTCGTTCCACTACGTGTTTAACTTCTTTTTTACGTACAAACTTACGTAAAGGAAAATAAGAATTTTGTAAAATATATTTTCCCTTACGTAAGTTTGATATTTTTTTTTCCGGGTGCATGCGCAATTGCTTAAAACCTTACGTACGAAACCTAACGTAAATCTGCGAAATATCCCTATTATCAAAAGTGCATTTCACGTTAAGTACGTCGGTAATTTTGCTAAATGAAACGAACACAGCAATATATTTATTTGACATAAATTTTTAAAATAATTAAAAAATATGAGCAGTCTCATATTAAAATATTTTTTAGAAAGATGATTTTTTTTTAAAAAAAAATTTTGATTTTCAATGATTGGATGATCAATTCAATGATTTAAAAACATCATTGAATCACCAACAAAGCCAGTAGTTCCAAATATTAAATTACACTAATGAGATGACATCACAGATATGAGCAGTGTAGCATATTTTCGAAAAGGGGTATTCCCCACGATATCCGGCTCACAACGAGAAATATGAACCGTATTTAGAGCCTGATCTAGAAACGTCTCTTAACACAATAGTCAAGGGCCTCCTGGTCCTAACGTTAAAAAATTTACTTATTGTATATTTATAAAGTTCCTTTAAATTATTTATAACATCAGTAATATACTATATATTAGTAAATTTGAGCTTTTATCTCCTACAATTTTTGCTAACTCATAATTTTAACAGACAATTCTTAACGAAAAATAAATTATTTGTAACATTAATAATAGGGGCCCAGGCCCTAGGCCCCTCATCCCTTATGATAAATTAGGCATAGACAGTACTGAATCCTATGCCACCTCTTATTTAATATATTGCAAATACATATTTTAGTTTTTTAAATATTTTAATGAAAGACGAAAAACATATTTTGAAAAAGGAATTCAAATACTATTCAGAACTTATTCTTAAAAATTCAGTTTTCGATTATGAAATTTTAGACACTATTTCAAACTTTGATTAAAAATTCAGGTTTTGATAAAGTTTAGATACTATTTTGAAATTATTATTAAAAATTCAGTTTTTGATAATGAAGTTTCGATACTATTCCGAATTTCTCTTAAAAAATTCAGTGTAAATACTATTCATCCGAGATTATTCTAAAAAAATTTAGATTTTAGAAAGGAAGTTCAGATACTAACTCGATCATATTTTCAAAAATTTGTGTAAATATTTAGTGATTTTGTGACATTGTATGAATGTCACTGAAATATTTTACAATTTTATTGCCAGCGTTTTTCTAAATCTTAAAAGGAATATGTTGAAAAGCAACAAAAATGAGTTCATTACCAGCAGAATGTAAAGCTCCCCTCAATTCTATAGTATTTAAAGATCCTGATTGGTCCACGTCGTATTTCTTAAAAACATTCTGAAAAAAGAGAAAAAATATCCAATTAAGTTTTTTTTCCAAAATATACGCTATATTTAATTATATGACAAATAAAAGTTTTTTTCATTTCATATCAAAAATTTTAACAATGTTTAGGTAACTTACATTTTTTCCTGTGTTAGATTAGTCCCTTACATTTTTAATACATTTAAAACAATTTCTTATTTTAACCATTGCCATTTGCGTTAATAAACATAAAATGTGAAAAATAATAAATGGAAAAACATGGGAATAAAATAAGAGAAAGTAAATAAGAAGTTATAAAATAACTAAGAATAAACACAAGAAATTATTCTATAAAAGAAATTATAAAAAAAATGAATATTTTTTTGAAAAAAAATTACCTTCCATGTTCGAATATCCATCCATAAATTTTTAAATTCTTCTAATCCTAGTTTTCCTGATCTATCAACCTTTCAAGTCAGTTAAGAATTAATCAAGTAACAATACAAATCGCATGTTCGATTAAATATAATTTTTTATTGTAAGTACTGCAAAAAAATAATCATTTAATAATAATTTTTAGTAATAAATCATAAGCAGAGATGATTGTGCTCCGTGAAAAATTCGGATTTCCGGATTTTCTCGCAAACCGCGATCCGGAAATCTAAGGTCCAGAAGTTTCAAGAAATCTTCGATCACATCTATGTATAAAAATGTTTGCACATTTTATTTAAAAATGTTAGAAATAGAATTTCTACTTGGTTTCGCTTTCATTTGGTAGAAAAATAAATGTGATTAGAGATAAAAGTAAACTTATATGCAGCATAATTTAAATTAATAATTATCTATAATTTATTTAGAATTTCATGTTTTGAAAATATCTATGATCTAAATTTATCAAGACATTAATTTTTTGAAGTGCGTCATTAATGATTTTGCTCAAGAAATTTTCAGGATTTTTGAGTTGAACTCACAATCACCCCTGCCCTAATTAAAGTAATAAAAAGTTTATATCATTATATAAAATTTGATAGTCATCCATTATGGGGTAAAATTAACGGTCACCAGCAGCTATATGGCAGCGCATTACTAACCACATTGCCAGTACCATGCCCTTGGTTTCGAAATTGTTGATCCTTACAACTATTCTAACTATAATAAGTATCTTATCATTATACACTATCAGGTCAAAAGTACCCGGACACCCGGTTGTTGTGGTGGTGGAAGCATCATGGTGTGGGGGTGTTTCTAGTGGTTTGGCCTGGGCCTGTGGTCATGGTTAGAAACATTAACTCTGAGATGGATGTGGATAATACTGCACTCCCAACTCTATGGCAATATTTCAGGCCCATTTCTCTACCAGCAGGATAACTGCTCCATCGAGGATTGTACAGACGTGGTTTGACAAAATGGTTGCTCAAAAACTGAACTGGCCTTCTCAGAGTCCCGATATAAACCCCATAGAACACTTTTGGGATAAATTAGAGCGCAGATTACGTAGCCCCAGACAAATCCTCACTGCAAGCACTCACTTCAGCTATGATGGAAGTCAATTCCTATCAAAAACTGGTGGAAAATCTTCACAGAAAGCTGTCATCGATGCAAAAGGAAGACCAACATCCTATTGATATGTGCCTCAGGACACTCTAAGTCCATACCCCTGGGTGTCCGGATACTTTTAGCCGGATAGTGTATTGCCACAAACTCTTTTTCTTTATTAGACTGCCAAACGTAGTGTACACACCAATCCTGAGCAGATTTTAAATAAGATCGTTTTTTTCATTCAAATGGCTGCCACATATAATGGTCGAGAGGATCAATTGCACTGGTTGTATAAATGGTAATGGATTGAATGATTAAAGAAAGGATACGTCCATCATGGAAACCATACTTCTGCAGACATCCAGTGAAAATCCCTCGAATTCGAACTCTAAAAACAATTATTGTCGAAAATTAACAATTTTAAAAGCATGAATCAAACTGGAAAAAAAAAGCATCCAGAATCGGAGAATACTAGATTTATAAATCGCATATACATTAGACTCTCGATATCTCAAAGTTGAAGGGAAGCTATGAAAATAAGGAGATAACAAGCACAGAACTAAAAATGTTCTAAAAAGTAGAAAAATATATTCCAAAATATTACTCTGAAAAGTAGAGTCATGAAACGTAAGACCATTAAATATGTATGTAATGATAGTTGACTATAAGTCCAAATAAAACATTGATAATTTTATTTTTAAAAGTACGGCAAAAATAATTGTGCATTTAATAGAAAAGAATTGGTTTACAATAAACTTATTAAGTGATTTTTCTCAAAAAAATTCAATTTGAAGAATTTGATTCAATTGAAGGTTTTGAGAAGAAATTCTTCGACATAGGAATTCAAATTAACATTAGGTGAATACATAATGCCAAGGATAAAAATATTTTTGTATTGACATAACAAGGTTTTCGAGATATCGAGAGTGCACTGTACTTCCAAAATAAGGAAAATTTTCTCGATTATATAAAGGACTTAGTATTTTTATTTTCATATCGACAACATTAAAAAAAAATTTGTCAAGCGCAATTTCAGCCTTGCCCTGCAAATTTAGTTAGCATAATATAGCCTGTAGGCTATATTATGCCAACTATATTTGCCGCAGTTCAAAAGATTTTAAAGAAAGCAATAATAATGTATGAAAAAAATTATATCATTTAAGAATTTAAAAAGGAACATTTGATACTAAAAAAAAGAATTGCATGTAACAAAAATATAAGCATACACAAGATGAAAATAACTGCAATATTCAAGAACTTTGTAAGAAACACTTTTTCATACAAACCTCCAGACATATGCTGCTTGCTTTAATGTCATTTAGGTTATGAACAAAGCGTGATCTTTTCATTTTGAGACATCGCAAAGTTAACTGTTAACCGAACTTATATCAAAAACGTAAAATGGGCTTTAATTTACCAAGGCTGAACTGAACTAGATACACCAAGGGTTGCAATCAAGTTCGAACCTATTTATTTAAATCGAAATAAATACTGGTTTTGAAGCATGTTTGGTCCTCAAAGAAGCAGAGTTCGTAACGGAGCAGAATCCATTGAACATCTTTCCTGGTTTCAAAGATCAACAAAAGTTGAGGCCAATATTTACAGAGAGAAGAATTATATTGATATCCGTATATTAAAAATCCCTTTTTAACTAAATCATATTAGGTCAAATAAAAATTCAAATTTTATTTTTCGATTTATATGAAAACTTTGAAGGCCACAAATTGAGTGTTGGCAGGTCATATGTTGAGCAGGCCAGCTCTGCAGGATGAAATTGGTTAGAGAGCTACCTGGTGTAAACACTTGCCCATATATACACTTGCCATTTTTGAGATATGAACGGTGACTCTCCAGTTTTTCACCAGATGCCGATGCAAGTTGACTCGTACTTTAGCACATAGCTATTTTACTATACAAAGACTATTTTACTATTCAAAGACAACTTTTCATGACTATAGCTGTAGCCGTTTAATGGTTAAGAAAGTGAACACAGACCTTAGTGAACACATCCTATATATTTTTCTATATCAGCTTTTAATGTATGAACAGCTAGAAAATCTTTTTTCAGAACAATCTAATGTAGAATTTTTGGATTGTTTTTTGGTCTGTCCAAAAACTTAAGATGCAAAGTCACATTTAACAATATTTTTTTAAAAGACAAACAAACCGTAATGCATAATAACTGCATCTATTAAGCCAACTACTTTTCTATGTTAGCTCTATCTACATGTTAGTAATTGCTGCTCATGCTGTGAAAAAATTCGCAAAAAATTGTGGCTTTGAAACTGTTGATTAAGTACTTGTTACCGAGGCAAATCTGTTATTTCAAGTAATTACTAATTTCTATATTTTAGGGTTAAGAATCGTGTTTTATTTATGTTCACGACTTATTTATAGTATTATTCTGACATTACGAACTTTCGGGTTACAATTCCCATTAGTATATAAATTTTCAGAACTGCTATTGTACACTGCGAAAAGAAAATGTGAACACCTTGAATAACTTTTGATCTAATGACTGGATTTCCACCGACTAAGACTCAACCTTGTTAGTTGAAGGTTCTAACCTTAAATGTACTAATTAACTAGGGCAGATACTTCAAAAATTAGACACAAAAACGTACTTATTTAATTCATTAAATATACAATATTTAAATTTCACCATTTAAATTAACACACTTTAAAATGATGTAAATGTTTTTTTTTATTATTTAACAAAATTATAAAAAATAATAAACTAAAAAAAATTTTCTTACATGGAACTATCTTTCGATAAGCGAGTTTTATAATTGTATGCAAAAAAAATTTCGATTTGCTTAAAAACTTTCCACAATATAGCTCAATGTGCAAAAATTAAGACTAAAAGGTTCAAACTTTCGACCACTCTCTACTAAAGTATTGTAATTTTATTTTCCAGATTGCGGCTACCCTCATAATTTGACGGTCAAAAAATGAATGTTTATTTACGAATTGTTGAATGTTTACTTATTAATGAATGTTTAGTCTAACATGTTTGTGTCTAACGTCATAACTTAAAATATCGTGTGTTTACAAATTAATAAACATATTTGAGATTAGTCCTCGAATTATTGAGTTCTAGAAAGTAAAAATGCGATTATTTTTCAAAAGTTATTCAGGGTGTTTGACTTTTTATATTGCACACTATACATGTAATAGAAAAAAAAATATTTAAAAAAATTAAAAAAGACTTCACACAATGTTTTGTATTGATCGCTCTTATCAAAAATTAAACACAAAATGTGTGTATAATAAGGACCGAAAATAAGTAGGAGTCAAAATCTTACAGAATCACTAGTGTGGAAAATGTGATGAGAAACACCAAAGCCATTTAGATTGTCTAATGAAACTTGGGGGCGTTTTCAATAACGGCCATTACCTCTTTTCTGTTTCCTTCAGCAATCAAACGCGCTTTGATGTTCTACATCTTTCCTCCTTCTCTAGTTATTCGTTAGATTTTGATATTTCTTTTTTGTTTATTTCTTATTTTTTTAGTTATTTATTTGCGATGATTTACCCCTTAAAAATAGGTGTTGTTTTAAGTTTTCAACGTCTGCACATTATATCCACTTTAACATCATAATAACAAATAAAAAGTTGTAAGAGTTATAAAAAATCAGGCTAACATAAGCATCAATAAAAGAGAAGCACGGCGAGATCAAATAAATAAATAAAAATTTAAAAAAAAACAGACGATAATTTTGAAACATCTTGGAGTTTTGTTCCAGACAGAGTTATTTTTACCAGAGTGAATTTTAAATGGTTTTACATAATATTAATTTAAAGTGTTTTTATGTTGTTTTTTTATGATTATCTTATTTATAATTACTGTCTTGGCTTTGATTTTATGAATGAATATGAATACTTAAGAAGGGAAAGAATTGCTTGTGTGGAATTAAAATTAAATAAAAAAAATTTGACCAATGGGTAACCACAATGTGATCAAAATTTTTATTTTTTTTGTGTGGTTTTCTTATAAATATTTTTAACCTTTATTTACTTTATTTTTGACTATATATATTAATACATCACTTTACCAGACATTGAATGTAGTTATTGCGTTACTTTAACGACAGAATTTCACATTACTTCATGAATAGTCAATGAAAAATGGTTTACTCGAAATTACTATTTCATTTAACAGTTTTTGAAGCGAGCCTCACTATTCCGGCATTTCGAGTTTTAACAACAATTTGAATACCACAATTATTTGCGAGATGATTTGACATTGCTCATGCAGTGTGTTGGTTGTGATTGTTAGTTGTGTTAGTAAAAAGCTTAATATTTTTTTCTGTAACCATCCTTACCATGCTCTTTTGTAGAAGTAGCAAATTCAAAAGGTGAGGTGGGGTGAAAAAAATAAAAACACAACAAATAAATTAGACATAAATAGATAATGAATTGAAACAAAACCATGCACATTGTAACAATAATGAAAAACAAATGTGGGTGTTTTGCAATAAAATTTCTATACATAATAAAGACTGTTTTCAACAGGGCCTACCTAATACCAAGAAAGCTGGAAGTAGAAACAATCAAAATTAACAATCAATAAATATTTCATTGCATAAAAATGCATTGATTTTTTTATAATTAAATTTAATATAACTATAGTAAAACAATTATACAAGCTGATTATCAAATAGCTTTGCTGGCTTTTTATTTCCTGGCGTGCATACCGTTCAAAATAACGCCCAAGAAGAACGTTAAAAAAAAATTCAGATTTTACGGTTACAGGATTTCGAAATTTTCAAATGGAAAAACTATTTTTATTGAAATGGGAAATAAAACACCTAAAATTAAGGTAAAACTATTTTCAGCGGAAAAAATAGCAGCGCTTGGCAGAAATAAAAAAAATTAAAGTTTTGTTTTTAATAATTTTCGACATACTACCAAATCAGCACTAAAGAAAACACGACAACAAAAAACAAGAGTAAAGGGTTGTGATTTGTATTTTGCAGCATCGTGCTCTCTTCGTTTCTGTCTAGCGCCGCTACTATTCATGTTTAATATATCGCTACAAGTCCATTTTAAGTTTTATTGATTCTAAAGATATCATTTCGACAAAAAAAAAGTAGACGAAGAAAATAAAAATTTCACTGTACGCGTAAGAGTTGGGTAAACGTTTTTAACAGTATTCATTATCGTATTTTTATACAAAATAAAATTTTATTCTATTCCATTGAACGGTATGCTCGAACGGTATGGGAACCAGCTCAGCGGCTGTCCACGCCGTCTGACCTGGGTCAAAATTAGAAGTATTTTCCACCACAGAGAGTCACCCAAATGTCTTTTAAAACTGGACTAGTTGCTTGCCCGTGGTTGTTTGATATTCTTTAAGTATCATTTCTTCACTTAGCATTATGGGTCAGTTTTATAAATGGGTTAAACAGAAACCATCAATATCCAAAAAGTAGAGTTTTATAAAATTAATTATAAAAAAAACTATATTTAAGAAGTTATAATTTCCTGGTACTACCGCTTTCAAACGTATTTTCAAATTTTAATTATTTCTGGTTTAGTGTATCGACTTAAACGAAATTATTGGTAGCAAAGTCGCTTTCTGCTTTAAATAATGATTACATTAATTAAAGATTAATAGAGCAGTTACATTTAATTAACACAATTCACATAAAAAAGCTCAAAACACATAATGAAGCAGTCATTTCGCGAAGCATTATACTTATCACACTATTTCATTATACTTAAATTATATAAGTTTTGTTCTTGTTTCAACAGATACTTTAAATTCATCCTCGACTTTTAATGATGTTTTTTAATATTTAATATAGTATGAAACACCCAATGCTATAGTAAATACTCATGCCGTTTTTAGCTAGAAAATATATACATACACAATAAAAAAAATTTCGTTAAATTAATAGCTCAACAGATTTATTTTTTTTTAAAACTTTGTAAAGTAATTCAGTTTAATGAACTAACGCTATAAACATAAATTTTTTTTTAAAAAAAATATCGAAATACTGATAGTTAACTTTTTTTAAAAAATGTTTTAACTCATCATAATGTGATTATTATTATTCCCGACTAAAAACCTGAATAATTTGTTTTTTTAAACCTCTCACGATTATTATTATTTAAAATGAAATGTACTTAAATGGTTATTTTATAAAAAAAAAATATTAAATAATAATAGTTAAATTCAAATAAAAACGTAAACTCAGTGGCACGACAGCCCACAGAGGGCCAAGGCCTACGGTGCCCATCTCAGTTTTTTTGACCTTGAGCTCTGGGGTGCAAGAGCAGATGTTCCGGTTAGATGGTCAGCCGAAGGCGGAACCCCCAGTGTTTAGTTCCCAAGCATGCTTGGTACTCATTTATCGACCCACTGAAGGGATGAAAGGCTGAGTCAACCTTGCCCGGCCCGAGCATCGAACCCAGGATCTGTGGCACGGGAGTGCGAAGCTCTACCACTCAGCCACCAGGCGTCCAACCCTGTGAATAACTGTTTAACAAAACAAAAGTGTTATTTGTGTCCCCGAAGCCCTGGCCGGGAATAAAGAAGAGATGAAATCAAATTCCATTCATGAAAAGTAATGCATATTATAAACAAAAATTAAGTATACCAGTTAAAAAAATTTTGAGAGTATTATGAAATAAAGCTACATGTGGTTTAGTTTAAATATAAAAAGTGAGCGTGATACCTTTCTTTAGTGCAAAATTCAATATTTCTTGCAGTTCATAGCAATCGACTTCAAGATCTTCTCCGGCTATGGTAGCGAAGAAATCTTTCACTTCCTGTTCTTTACTCTTCTCCTCTTCCGTTTCTTGAAGTTTCACCTTCAATTCAAGAAATCATATTTCATTTTATTATTTTTTTTCTCAATGAAATAGCTATTAAAATCATTCACATGCCAACACACATTCTGAAAAACGACATTCGCTGAACAATAAATTAAATTGAGAGGATTGGACAAAGGACACCAATATTTTCACCCAAATGCATTAAAAACAATTTACGAGCATTTTCATTGGAAAGAAGTTGATGTAAATAAACAAAATTCCTCAAACCGTATGAGCTTTTTTTCTTCTTTAGAGGGAGGGTGTTTCATTAGAAGCTCCAGAAACACAACATAGTTCGATGACTCGGCAATTGCTTTTCGAATAGAAAAATTGATTGATGAACATTTTCGAAAACTATGTCAACAAGTCACGATGGTAAAGTTTTTTTTTAAGAAAATAAACTCTATTGATGTAAGTTTATTGCAAACTAATTCTTTTATGTTATTATGTTTTGCTATTTATGTTTGCTTAGTTATTTTTGTGTTGCTTTTAAAATAAAATCATCATTGCTGCATTTAGACCAACTATTATACAAATATTTTTATTAGTACTCTTTCTTTAGAACACATTTGATTCTAAACTTGTTATCTCGAAAACCCGCTATCTCAAAAATAATGCTACTTAGAGAGATATCGAAAGCATACTGTATAAACTGTTAGAAATTAAAACTGTATTTAGATTTTAAATTAATTCTGAAAACATTTTTAGGAACAAACCAAAATTTATACTCAGCTAATAAAGTTAATCAACAGCGAACATTATGAATCAATTTATAAATGCTTTGTAAATAAGAGAAATTAAATGTGAAGAAAGAGTGCATTTTACTTGTAAGTTTCCCGAAAGCTTCGAAAAATAGAGCTGATTGAGAGAGAAAAAAACATTCACATATTTGCAATCAATATAAAAACTGCATTCGAAAATAATTCATAAGGCAATTTTTGTTTTCTTTTAGTTAGAAGTAAAGATTTAAAACAAGAAATTAAACAAAAAATAATTAAGTTCTCACAAAAAATTATACATAGTATGCAAAAAGAATAAAAAATGCGTAATGAAATTTTACTTCGCAAGAAATTAATTTTTCAAGCATAAAAAGCATATTGGACTGTTTCAATTCCCATTTAAAAGTCTTTCTTTTTACATTTTTTATTTACTTATACTAGTTAGAATTATAGTTTTATGTTTGTAACTATCATTAACAATTTTAAAAAGCTAATTATTTTTTTGAATACATTTTTTTCAAATATTAACTCATAAGCTACGGAAATTTTTTAGAATAGCATTTTTCCATATTTGATAATTTTTAATCCTAATTTCCACTTTTAATACAAATAGCTTGAAATACTATTGGATACTACTATTGAAACTTCGTGTAGGAATTAACGGAAAATATAAGAACATTATTTTTTATTATTTAGAATAAGCAATTGAGTTTCTTTTCAGATAATTTATATCATTATACTTTTTCATTCGAAGTTATAATAAGCACAGAACAATTTTTATGGTCAGGAAATTTTTTTTTTAATAAGGCCTTACGAACTTATATGCTTATACAATACACGTACAAAACTTATTTCATTGAGTATTTTTTCCCTTCCCTATACGTAAAAATTTTTAATTCAAAAGATTAAAGAAGTTAAATCACGATCAGCTTCTTCATCATGATCTTACATAAAAACAAAGTTATAAATTATATTTTCCATAGCAATTAAATTAATTAAAAAAAAATTTAAATTTTTTTTAATTTACAAATTTTTATTAAATTTTCAAATACAAAACGTAATAAATTCATTATAGTTGCAGAAAAACAAGGGATACTTAAGGGAAATGCGAATATAAAATAATATGCAAATGGCAAGCATTTTTGTTTTCATCATGAAAAAAATTAAAGATCACACAATCTTAATAACAACAAAATAATTGTAATTAAATAATATGCATGATGCTTTGTAATAATCACCCATATGTTTAAAATTCTTATAAAAACATTAAGTACATTACCAGTTAAAATTGAATATTTGAATGGGAAAAAACACTTCTGAACCATTAGCAATCATTTATGAAATCGGCCATAACAAGCTAGGAATTAAAATAAGCAAAAACCAGTTTTATTGTCTGATGAGACTAGAATGTATATTAAATTGGTTTTAAGCAATTTTTAATTCCCTCTTTGCTCTTATGAGAACGCAATAGAACCATGGGAGAAACTTTTCATGGCAAATTCTGTCTCACCTACATTGGTATTTTAAAATTGAGAGAAAATGAATTCAGGTAATCCAAGTGAAAATCATAAAGTTTCAAATTCTGAAGAAAAAAATTTTTTTTTTCAAATTATCAAAATGCAAAAAAATTATTGCACGATTACTTGACGGTATAATCCTGCCACAATTTGTTTGCATTCTGATATTTTGAAAAAAAATTCGTATTTTTTTCAAAAATAATTAATATTTTTTTCACTAGATTTATTTAGTATTATTTATATTATTTATATTAGTTATTTTAGTAGTAGTTTATTTTGTATTATTTAATTATTTTAGCAGTAGTTTATTTATTGTTATTTTAGAAGCAGTTTATTTAGCATTATTCAGTTATTTTAGTAGTAGTTTATTTATTATTTAATTATTTTAGTAGTAGTATATTTATTATTTAGTTATTTTAGTAGTAGTTTATTAAGTATTTTGTTATTTTAGTAGTAGTTTATTAAGTATTATTTTGTTATTTTAGTAGTAGTTTATATAACATTATTTAGTTGTTTTAGTAATAATTTACTTAGTAATAGTTTATTTAGTATTAGATCTATTTAGAATTTTTTTTCTCTTGGTTCTCTCATCGGAAATCGAGTTTATCTATAATTATTTATTTCCGTGAAAGAGAATTTGCCATAATCGCATCCTCTTAATCACCTCAATAAATGATTGGTTGGAATTTAAAAACCTCATTCTTAAAAAAATTATAAATGAATAGACATTACAGGTGGTTATTACTAAACACACTGTAGGATTTCGGACTTAAAATTATAAAAAAAAACATCATTCAGGTTTTGTAACAAATTAAGGGGGAAAAAAATTCATGTTCAATTAAATGCGCTTTAAAAAAAAAAACTAGAATATGGGATAGAATGCATATAGGATAGATGGGATAGATCATGCTCATTTCAGTCTTACACTATATGGAATCGGATAATCTGTTTTGTCGTCTTGGTACAATAAGTCCTTCTGCCAATAAAACATTTTCAATAAAATATTCAATATCATTCCAGTGCATAACTTAACTAATTAAACAGCATTTAATTTTAATGTTTTCTTGCGTTAAATAAAAATCATTTTTGTAACAAAATTATACGAAGTCTGCTTTTTTCAAAGCATTTCACAAAGATTGCTTAATGTATTTTTGGAATCTTAATCAAAAATGAGAAAAAAATATTTTGCACATAAGAGGCCGCGAATCAATATTTGACCTATGAAAAAACAAAAACTCCATCGAAAACTGACAAATCACCGTCCAGGAAGTTGGTTGTAGTCAACAACAAAATATGTTTGATTGCGGAAGGTAACAGGGATAAGTTTAAAAACGATTATCAGAAACACAAGTTACTACTTCCAATTAAATCTGTGATGGTGTTTATTACATACGCGTTCCTCTATCTGTTGTTGGTCAGTTTCGACAGCGTTTTTGTCTTTTTCCTTGTTTAAATATTCATTTACGACTACCCACATTTGTTCAACTTTTATTTTTCATTTTTGATAAAGAGTCTAAAAATTCATGTCAAGAGCAGTCTTTAAGGCAGTGTTTCCCAAAGTGTGGTACGCGTACCCCCAGGGGTACTTGAACAGTTTAGCGGGGGTACGTGTTCTTATGCGAAATATCTTGCAACAAACGAAAATTTCAAAAATTTTTATTTAAAAACAAAGCTAGCCATGAAAATTTACGATTACGAGTTTTTTTATCTGGTATTTTTTGCAGAGTTGACAGTTAATAATTAGTGGTGTCAACAGCCAGTTGTGATTTGTAACTTTTGTGCATTTTTTTATAGTAAAAAATGCATTCATTTTTTATTAGGGGTACACCGAGTTACGAAAAATTTAGAAAGGGTACATGAAAGTCATAAGTTTGGGAAACACTGCTTTAAGGAATAGTCTATATCTTTATAGAAAAGTTCATAGCATACATTGAAAATAATGAGGTTTCTTTTTCTTTCTTTTTTTTGTCACAGAATAAATGCAAAAGATCCCGCATAAAACTGACATTTCCAATTTTTTCGTATAAACTGTTTAGGTTATAGTTTCGCTTTAAGTGTTTCAAGTTATGATTTTCAAATGAATTATGACGCATTCATTATGAAACAGGAAAATATCCATTTAAAGCAGCGTAAAAAGTTAAATAATGGCAGTTATTAACAATGGATTTTAATCCCACAAATTTAATTTAAAAACGAAATTTGTTTAAAAACTTATTAAGTTGGAAAAAATATGACATGTTTTGAGCGATCGATAGGAATCGCCCGTTCTCAAGACCCAGTAAACATGAATAAAAAAATAAATAAAACAGATTTGAATGAGAAAACCAATTCATTTCTGTAGAGGACTGATCATAATCCGTTAATCCCGCACAGGACTGATCGAAAAGACACGATTTCTAGTAGAAGATCGAAGTCGAGCATCACTGGCTGCGGTCAGTAAGCGGGTGAGTGACCACTTGGATCAGCCTGCAATGGATCAGCCAGTGGCATAGGTCCTCGTTAAACTGTTTTGCAGTTAAGTGGTCGACTTCACGCGAAAGTAGTCGAGTTACCAAAGCGGGGAAGCCATCTCCTCTGCAGAGGATCAAAATTTTGATGTCATGTCCTCAGATCATCCTCAGTGATGTTTCCCTGACCGTCGCCAATAGCCCATTGTGTAGCTCTAGTGCGACGTAAATAAAGTACTTACCTACTGTTTTATTTCCATTTTTTATCTGACAATTTTGCGTTTTCTTCATCAAATCTGTTTTATTTTTCTCATTCACGTCACGTGAAAGGAAACCTTTATTTTATTTCTTTTTTTTTTTAGTTTCTTAATTAAACTGTTGCGATAAGGATAAAGGATTTAGTTGTTAACTAAGTTTAGAAGTAAAAGTTGTTAATTTAGTTTTAAAATATAGTTTACCTTTATTTAATTTCCATTTTTTGACCTCCCTGGTTGAAAGCCACCCTGAGGAATTAACTAACAGTTACCAACATGGCATTTTCTATACCAAATCTGTTTTATTTTCCTCATTCCCGTTTGTACTCTGTACTACGGCATAGAGACATGCTGTATTTTTTAAAAAAAATTTAATATTTGGAATTATAATTACCTCGTCATCTGGATTGGCTATTCCTATCTCTTCGTCGTATTCCCTAAAATGAACAAAGAAAAATAATTTCAAGAACATTCGTCATTTTTGTGTTAGTTTAAAAACACACTGTTCAAGCTGGATATCTATTTTTTTGTTTACGCATTTAAAAATACTCAGACATGATTGAATTTAAATTAAACTCGTTTGAATATATAAAGCCTCTGTCGTAACGTGATATGAAGACTGGGATAGCCTGGTTGGCAGGGCGCTGGACTCGTGTTCGTGAAAGTTCGGAATCCAGCCGGCCGAAGACTCCCCGTGCCGTAAATAGTGACTGGTACACGTTAAATCTCTCTGGTCACAAAGTCCTCCATGTTCCCATAACAAATTATACCTCTGGGAATACTGAATTGGAGATTGATCGTTCTCTGGTTCAGGTCAAAATTACGATAGATGAATGATTGAATGGATGTATGAATGGGTTGCCCTATAAACGGGTGTGACTTATTGGTGTGGCAGAATTTGAATTCTTGACCATAGATGGAAACGAGAACAATCGCACCCCTTGCCTTAATGACCTTTGACGACAACAACGTGATACGATGATGAGAAAAATGCTGATTCGTTCAAAATTGCTGAATGCTAATTCATTTTCTCGATCCATGTCAAAAGTGACTATTAAAATCTATAACAAACATCCTAATTTTTATCACTAAAAACTATGAATATAAATAGTCTAAAATGACAATTAAAAACAAATTTAAAAATTTACTTTTCCACCATAAAAATCTAGTTTTTTAATTTGTTAACAATCAAGTCTTTTGTCAGCTTCATATGAAAGTGCAACGCAGTTTTACCTGTCTGCTAAATTTACAGAGAAATTTCGAATGATAAATTATTCCAACTGTCTACATTAAATATCAAAATAAAAATAGACCTTTCAATAAAACGTCTTCGACATTTAAATTGTGGGCATGAAGTAGTACGCATGTCTACAGCAAAGGTTACCATTTCAGTGAAGTTATTTATCGCCAACTTACAATCGTACGTAGTTTTATCGCCGATGCAACACTAAATAAATCAGATGATCGGGATATAAATTTTGCTGTTGGTGAAAAAAAGAATTATGTTTTTAAAAGAAAACAAACACATTTTAAGGACTACTGACGGAAGACTATTTCTAAGACTATTGATTATGTTTTGAATATGACTTGAAACATCAACTATCTCCAGGTCTTGACCTGCTCTACTTCCGGTAAGAACGTATACAGCTGCTTACAATAGATTTTTCTGCAAGGCGATATTTTCAAACGGATAATTTTATTTTTAATACAAGAAGTAAATTATGTAATTTCAAAGCTCAAATCCGTTGTATTTCATAAGATATTAATAATATTAAGTAATTCTGGTGTGTTTGAAGTGAAACTTTCTTTTTAGTTATTTAGAAATGTATGGTTAAAAAAAGGTGACATGGTTGCTAGATTTCGAAATAACTCGCTTTTTTTGGCAGTTCTGATTTGGCCTCTTTTTACTTGTTTATTACTGTTTGTTGATGGTGCAAGGCGTGCACCATCATACGTCAGTGTTAGCATATTGTTCGAGCACCGAGATTAAGTTCCTTTTACAAATTATCATTTAGGATTAAATTTCGAAGTGGTATATTCAAATGAGGATTGTTCTTTTAAACACAAATAATAAATCAGGTAACAAATACACGTTTACAGGAAATAATACTCAATAGAGTCTCAAAACACAATGATCACGTTGTGAGCCTTCAAAATACACCAAAAACGATAACCCGGAAGTAAAGGCAGTCAAAAGCTTGCAGCTCTCACTACAGTCTCTGACCAAATTATTCGACGCACTCTAACAAATGCAAACCGGTTTCAGTCGAGTAGAAACAATAAGGCTGTATCCCCTGACAATTAAGATTTTACACAAAATCTATTAGTGCGTCTAATAATTTGACAAGGGACTGTAGTGTGGAAAATACCATCCATAGGTAACCCTGGTAAAACTCATATGAATTTACATGAGGATAATAACTATCAATATGAAGGACTCACCTTCTGTCTGGTGAATAATAAGAAGACCTAAAAGAAACTCGAAACGTGGAATACATCTTACAGCGATACAGATGAAAGTTTCATTCCAAAATTAACACATAATCCCCGTTTATTTAGATAGGAAGTTCTCCACGTGTGAGGTGAAAAACCTTATGTGTGTTTTTTCTCATCTTGGCAGTGGCACTGAAAACTTTCTTTTTTTTCCTCCCAACAGGAAAAATTCATTTTTTTCTCTCCTCCTGTCCTCGCCTCGCTGTTATCATAGAAGTGGGCGTGTGTCTTGCTAAACTAGTGAACTTAAGCAACTTGTTTTTGACGCTTGTTACAAGCAAAAGAAATCACAACACATATTCTTTTATGGGCAATAATTCTATACCTTTACCACAACATCGGCTGAATTAACAGCTCGTGGCAGCAGGCGGCTACTAATAAATGATTCCATTAAAAAATATTTTTATAACAATTTTTTATTTCATATAAATTTATTGAACGTTTAAACCAAACGAATGATTAAACGACTCAATTAAATGATTTTTAAAATCGTATTTTGAATTATTGGTTTTAAATTTTACTTCATAATAAATAATTTATTTAAATAACATTATATTTAACAAAAAAAATTTTATAATAATTTTATATTTAGTATAAATTTATTAAAGGATTAATAAAACAATTTAATTAAATGATTAAAACAAATCGTGTTTTGAACCATTGGATTGAAATTATACTTTATAGTAAATAATTTCATATATATACTTTATAATTAATAATCATATCATGTTTTTAACTGCTCTGCAGTCGCTGCAGGCCTTCACCTCTTAAACTACCCCACAGAAGAGGATTTGTATTCTTTTAATGCCATAGAAATAACAAAAACTATTCAAGCACACCATGAAATATGATTCAATAGAGGATACGACACCAACCAACCATAATAAATAATAATTATATTACATTTTATATCATGTTTTTATAATAATTTTATATTTATTATAAAAATAAAAATATTACTATGAGTCATTTTTATCTTACTTTATAACCGTCGTTGAACAGCTGACCCATTTCAGGGTTTACGACTACTAATGTTCAACTCCGTAACCTTGTCATTTTGAACGCAATCCAGAAGACAAGGGAACTTCTGGGTCAAGTATTGGGAGAAATTTTGCCTTCATGGAGGTCTTTTTTGATGGAACTAACAATCATTTGCTTTACATGGAGAAGAAAACCACGAAGATGTTAATCTGACGGCAAAGGGACTCTAACCCATGATCCGTCAACCACTGAGGATATTTTGAATCAGCATTGTGGTCGGTGCAGAAGTCGAATCAACTAGCCATTGCCGGGGTTCGAACCAGACAATGGCTGGAAACTGATGGATAAGACTGTGATGAATCTATTTTGTAATGAATGTAGTCTTCCTGCTCCGTGATTGTAAGCCTTCGGGCAACTCTTCAATCTGATGTAGTCTTTTCATGATTTTAACCTTTTAATTTATCTATTTCTTAATTGTTTTTAGAAATAAAGTTTTATGGTTCGTTAGACTTCTGGTGTAGAGGTGCTCTCTCTCTCTCTCTCTGCTGTCAGCCCTGTCGTCTGCACTTGAGTTGGCGCCGCCGCCGCCGCCCTGTGAGCTCTGAACTGCTTTGTGGTTCGTCATCTCTTGCTTCTTGACGTTGTGTTGTGGTGCTCACACAGCGGAAAAAGCACTCTCCTTCCAATGAGATGAATCGGGTTCGAATCCCGGCAATGGCTGGTTGATTCGAATTCTGCACCCAGCTCGCACCGACCACAGTGCTGATGTAAAATATCCTCAGTGGTAGAGTCCCCTTGCCGTTAGGCTAACCGTGGGAGGTTTTAGTGGTTTTCCTCTCCATGCAACGCAAATGAGGGTAAGTTCCATCAAAAAGTCCTCTGAGCAATTTTCTCCCAATACTTGACCCACGAGTTCCCTTGTCTTCTGGACTGGGTTCAAAGTGACAAGGATTCGGAGTTGAAGATTGGCAGTCGTTCGAATAAGTGATTAGAATCATTAATCCCGAAGACTACCTAAATGATTATATAGTATGGTTAAAAGCATTAATCAGTTACGTTAATAAACCGATTGGAATTTACAAACATGAATCATTAATGCTAATTATTATCTAAGTTGTATCACTGATTTTAATAATTTATTTTACCAGCTAGTAACCAACTTAGAAAAAACTAGTTTTACATTGCTTCAATTTGCAATTCCATTCAACTGATTACAATCAGTGTGTCAAGCCAGCGATTTGAATTATGACTTAAATTGAATTGTTGAAATCTGAAAATTCGATCCATTGATTCGCACCCGAATTAATGTCGAATAAAGAAATCATCTCAGTCATTCAAATAAATAAAACAATTTTTTGATGAAATTACGAATAAATTTTAACAGGGATGAAACAAATTTCCAAATAGACTTGAATAAAAAGAAAATATGTTTCGATTTGATTCCAATAAAGAGATTAGCCTCACGCGTCAAGTCACCGATTCTAATTCAAAACAATGTCAAAATTATGTGTCGAATCAGTGAATTAATTTAGTGATTCGTATCGATTTAACAGCAACTCTATTTGTAATGAATGGCGTTTATAATTCTAAGAAAAATAAAGCCAACTTACGTCATGACGTTCCTTTTTCAAATATATTTGAGTAAAATGAAATACGGATTCGATTAGATTTTAATAAAATAAGAATCACAAATCAAATCACCGTTTTAATTCGAAACAATCAAGTCGAATCAATGAATTAATTTAATGATTATTGTCGATTCAACAGTGACTCTCTTTATACTGGACGATCGTTACTTTTTTAAACGAAAGGGGTGAACTTACGTCATAACGTTCCTTTTTTCTGCGAAGACCCTCAGAACAAAATCTCCTTCCTCATGTGGATCGAATGTGGATGGAACTAAGCAGTAGGTTCCTGGAGGGAGTTTAAATCTGCTACTCACTTCTCTCAAATTTATAAAAGTGTCAGATCTCGCGGTGGCCACATTGTACCTGAAGAATTCTTTCGGAAGTGGCTTTGGGAGTCTCTCTGGGTTTTTTAGCTATTGAAAAGAAAACAAAAAAATAATTATTCATAATCGAAGACGAAGCGCGTTTAACAGGAAACGAGAAAGATAAAGGAAATAGTATGAGAAATGAAATAGCCTTCGGTTGATTCTTGGAAGTTGAATCATTGAAATCAAGCGATTTCTTTGTTTATTTACGGTTGCAATCTCGCAAAAACTTTAAATAGAAATTTTACGCTTGTTAATATTTTTTTTCTTTCGAAAATCATTTATCGATCAAAATTTATCAGAGCTCGAATAATATATAAGGAAAAAATAGGCAAGGCTTCAGAAACATGCGAGGGGATTATTTGTTGACTTTGTTGTTTTATAATGATTAGTGTTTTTTATGCGAGTTAAATGTTTGGAAATTTAACTGAAAAAAAATATTGATTTACTTATTTACTGTTTTTTTATTCTATTTATTTACTTTTTATTTTATTTCTACATTCATTTAGCATTGAGATGATTTTTACAATTGAATCACGATTAAAATCGTTCTAACTTAATACTATTTAATTTTCAGTCACTTCTTCGTGCTACAGACGTAATTTTATTTCAGAGAATTAGCTTAAAATGTTATATAATTGTAGAAAATTTTCCACATTTCTTAAAAATCTACAGTTCCACATTCAATTGTTGTTCATTTTCAGTTTTTGAGTCTGTATCTTTTTTTTTAAAATAAATCACATAGAAAAAATAATTACGCACGTTATTTCTTAATTTTTATTTTAGTTTCCCCCACGAGTTATAAAGATTGTAAGTTAGAGGTGATTGTAACTTTAAGGCAAAAATCGCATTATTCGATACAAAGTTAAACACTATTCAGAGCGTTTTTCAAATCTATTATAGCACATACATTCCATTTACACATAGAAAGCTTATTACAGATGTATTATAATAATTTGTTAATGACACATTATGGAAAGATTTCCTTATCACTATCTATGCCAAAACAATCGCCAAGTTTTGGCGATTCTAGTGCAAAAACTTAACGAAAATAAAAACATCCCAGAAAACAACCAACTTTTTTTAAAATTTTTAATAACAGCTGTTGAACAGCCGACCCAATTATGGGTTTACGACTACCAATGTTCAACTCCGTATCCTTGTAATTTTGATCCCAATCCAGAAGACAAGGGGAGATCTTGGATCAGTATCTCGAGAGTCCTAAATGTTAACCATTTGTTATGGGAACATGGAGAACTTTGTGACCCGACAGATTTAACGTGCATCAGTCACCATTTACTACACGGAGAGTCTTCGGCTGGCGGGGATCGAACACACGATCTCTTCGACATAAACCCAGTGCCTTACCAACCAGGCAATCCCGGCCTTAAGATAACCAATTTTTTAAGTAATCTAGCCACCCCCGAGAAAACCGCAACATTTATTTATTTTTTTCATTTTTGTTAAAAATCGTTTTGACTGGGTGCACAGATACCAAGATTATCACCTCAATGAACTAAGAAACAAATCTAGTTATTAGCAAATTACTTAATCTGATTTAATTAATTTAATTATTATNCATGTAATCCCGGCCTTGAGATAACCATTTTTTTAAGTAATCTAGCCACCCACGAGAAAACTGCAACATTTATTTATTTATTTCATTTTTGTTAAAAATCGTTTTGACTGGGTGCACAGATACCAAGATTATCACCGTCAATGAACTAAGAAACAAATCTAGTTATTAGCAAATTACTTAATCTGATTTAATTGTTTTAATTATTATTTTCTCATTTTAAAAAAGTATATAAAATATTTCTTTTGAACATAATATACTTTTTAATCTAATATACCCTACTTACTAAAACATGTTCAGTACAGGACGAGAACTAGTTCAATACATGTTGATGCTTTTGCGAATCATCTTGACTATTTACATAGCTCTAGCTTTCTCATATTTCATCGAATCATTATTCAACAATTATTTCTTCGAGATCTAATAATAATCGCCATTAGAGGAGAAGCGGTCATTTCGGCATTAAATTAAATCTACGAGATCAACATTTTCTTTTTATTACTTTTTCAAGAGCAGCCAAGGACGCCAAGTTGAGCCTTCTCATTATTCTTTTTTAGACTGAGCTTCTTTATTTATTTAAAAAGAAGAATAGAGTTGTTAGGAAAAAAATACATAAAAAAAAATAATAAGGAGTTTTAGAAACCACTACCGACCTTGAGACGAGGAGAAGATTATATGAATAAAAAAGAAACGAAAAAAAAAGTTAAGAGGAAATTCTATTCTTTTAAAATGAATTTTCGATGATGAGTTAGCTGTTAATAACAACTGCTGAACTAATGATGCATACATTTTTGCCTCATTCTCAGAGAACGTAGAAATTCAAATCAATGTATCAATTACAAAGAAGTTAAAAATTACAGAATAATTATTTTTAAGCAATTTACCTTTATTTTTAAATAATCGGTTCAAATCTTTGATACGGAAATTTTAGAAGGACAGTTACTTTTGTAACAGAATATTTGAACACTCTTTTTAAGAAATAAAACTAGTTAGAATTAAAAGTGCTGATCAAATTAAAAATAAATATAAAGTATTGCCAAAAGAAATGACGGATTCATTTAAAAAAAGAAAAATTTGCAGTAAAGAGTGACAGCATCAAATGAATAATTGTCAGTCTCTTATATTTCTTGGTATTTTTAAGACAATTGCACTTTAAAAAATTCTGGATCAAATTATGGTAAAAAGTACCGGAATTCAGGGGCCAAATACTTTTTACCGTAAAAATGTACAGAACAAAAAATCTGATATACCATAATTTGCATAAAATTTTTCGGAAAAATTGATTTTATTTATGTTGCACCATTTAACTGTAATTTGATCCGGAATTCTTTACAGTGTATTTCATTCACTGAATGTATAATTCATTCACTGTAAAGAATTCATCTGGAAATCGTCACAGTGCATTATTCATTTTAACCTAACGCAAATCTCGTAAGGAACTAAAAAATGTTCATTTTGGATGGAGATATGGACATTTTTAGAAAAAACAACGTTTTTTTTGTTATAAATTTAAAAATATTCGATAAAATTAAACACAACTCTTTAGATCAATTTAAAATTAGTTAGAAAATCATTACTTTAAAATTTGAAATTCGTTTAAAATTGCGCAAGATGTGAGTAATAAAAGAAGTTTTTTTTTATTCTGCACNTAAAACTAGTTAGAATTAAAAGTGCTGATCAAATTAAAAATAAATATAAAAAATTAGCAAAAGAAATGACGCATCCATATTCAGAAAGAAAAATTTGCAGTAAAGAGTAACAGCATCAAATGAATAATTGTCAGTCTCTTATATTTCTTAGTATTAAGACAATTGCACTTTAAAAAATTCCGGATCAAATTATTATAAAAAGTATCCGCACTTAGGGACCAAATACTTTTTACCGTAAAAATGTACAGAACAAAAAATCTGATATACCATAATTTGTATAAAATTTTACGGAAAAATTGATTTTATTGATGTTGCACCGGTACATTTAACTGTAATTTGATCCAGAATTCTTTACAGTGTATTTCATTCACTGTAAAGAATTCATCCGGAAATCTTCACAGTGAATTATTCATTTTAACCTAACGCAACTCTCCTAAGGAACTAAAAAAGGTTCATTTTGGAAATTGGAAACACATTTGGGAAAGGTTCATTTTGGATGGAAATATGGACATTTTTATAAAAAAACATAATTTTGTTTTGTTTTAAGTTTTTCTGTTATAAATTTAAAAATATTCGATAAAATAAAACAAAAATCTTTAGAACAATTTAAAATTAGTTAGAATATCATTACTTTAAAATCTGAGAAAAATTCGTTTAAAATTGCGCAAGATATGAGTACTTACAGCAGTTTTTTTTTTATTCAGCACATGCGCGGGAAAAATTGGAATTTTTTCTTCTTCTTAAGCTTATAGAAAATCGTATTTGATTTAAACACTTTCAAATAATTTTCTATGTAGCTTTTGTACTTTTTAAAAATAAACTCAAAATTTCATTTTGTACTATTAAATAAGATTTATTACAGGATTCATCCCGATAAAAGTATCTTTTCTTTCGCTTGCTTTCTTTCCTTCACACTTCAGTGTATGAGTGCTTATTGTAAGGCATTTGTCTTATGATACAAAATAATGTTTGTAGAAAAACCCATATAATTCTGAGTTCCTTTAAAAAAAAGTTCGAAAACTACCTAAAAAATTGCTTAAAACTTTATAAATTTCTAAGATAATATTATTATTAGCTGCCAAACTATTTTAATTAGTAACTATTTTTATTAGTTACCAAACACAATTCTCTAAAAAATTAAATTTTTTTTAATATTTCCTGCGCAGGCGCAATATAACATAACTACTTTAATTTCTCATATCTTACGCACTTTTAAACACTTTTCTCTCAAATAATAAATCAAAGATTTTATAACTAATATTAAATTTCTCTAAGAATTTTGTTTAATTTTATTGAATATTTTTAAAGTTGTAGCAAAAAAACGTAAAACAAAAACAATTAATTTTTTATAAAAATGTTCATATTTCCATAAATATTTGAGCTAGGCTTACAAAATTTTACTTAATTATTAATTATAAAAAATAAAATAACTGCTACAAGTTACAAACTTATTGTTACATTTTTTGGCAAAGGGTGTTCAAAAACACTATTTTCCATTTGTAATTTATTGTCGGTCCCTTTAATCTCTAAACTTCATTGACAAGTATGAGAAATCGCATAATCTAAAACTTCTGAAGTTAAGAAATGATTTTTAAAATATTTTCTGAAAAATATGAAAAAATGTGAACAGAAACGATTTTTCCAAAGCACTGTGTAATAACCCACGGGGAGGACGCAATTTCCATTTTAAAACTTAGCAATTCTCAAAATGGAGCAGATAGAAATGCATCCAAAGTGGACATAAACCGTTCTTCCGCTTTAGTCCTCAACTATGGTTAAGATTAGAAGTTAATATTTTTAAATAATACAATTGATTACAAATTACTGAATTATTAGAAAATAATTATTCGAAAAAAAAACTGCTGTATATTACGAAATAATCGCCTCAATGTCTTACTCTTGGTTGGTTTCCTTATTAGAGATAATTGCTTTTAAAAAGGAATTATTTTTTTCTCGTGTCAAAAAATAACAATTGAACAGTAAAAATTTTCTTCTTTTCTTACTAAATACATTGCAAAGCTATAATATATATATATTTGAGGATTGCAATGATTTCTACTGCAATGTTTCATAACGCTTTACTCTACTAAATATGAAACAAAAATATTGACAACCTAAATATTTTTACATAAAAAAATTCCAAAAGGTAATGGTTTCTAGACTTTTTACCGTACAAATTTAAAACTGGTGACCCTTACCTAAAAATAGTTGACTGTTATTACTCCCGTCATAACCATGCCACAATTGCCTTAAATTCCCTCTTCACATTTTCAGTTATAAATTATGAAAATAATTCAACTTAAGTTTAATAATCTGGGCAATTTCTTTTAAACTAAATACATAGAATAAAGCATACTTTAAATGTAATAAGGAACATCATTAAGTTTAAACACAATTTATCTTGATTGAGTTTCTTTGTCCTAGAACGGGCATTTTGAGCAATAATGAATTTTCGAGAGTGTTAAAGAAGAACATTTGCAATGCTTACATAATAAATTGCAAATCCTATTGTCAAGCACTCCTGTCCCATCTTTCGATTGCATCGTCGGTTCTTCTGCATCAAAGCTACGATGATTGTGCATAAATCGTCATCATCATCTTCATCAACATCTTCCAGAACTACTCGAAACTGAGGGTTCAACCAGAATGTATCTGGAAAAGAAATGAAAACAATTAATTTAAATGTAACAAAACAAACGTTATGTAAAAGTAACTTAGATTAATTTAAATCTAACGTAAATCAAGTTAAGGTAGGTAGGTATATTTATGTCGCACTAGAGCTGCACAATGTGCTATTGGTGACGGTCTGGGAAACATCCCTAAGGATGATCCGAAGACATACCATCGCAATTTTGATCCTCTGCAGAGGGGATGACTCCCCTGCTTCGGTAGCCCGACGACCTGCGCGCGAGGTCGAGCACTTTAAACAGTTTGACGAGAACCGATATCGCACACCCTCCGTCTCTATGCAGGCTGATCAAAGCCGTCACCCACTTGATTACTAACAGCAGCCAGTGATGCTTGACTTCGGTGTTCTACTGGGAAACGTCTCTTTACTATCAGATTACTGAGGGACTAACTAAGGTCATTTAAATCTAACGCTTCTAATTAATCAACTTTAATCATTATACCCAGATACATAAATAACAGTGCGTCCACGGTATCCGAAAAGTAAGGAAATGATCAAATACCTCGAAATCATGCATAAGATCAAAAATCTAAATATTACGGGTTGAAATATTTTCAAAAGATGCCCTCAACGATGCAAATTCGATCTCCAATCTCAAAAAAATAGGAGGGGGAGGGGTTTACAACTTTAAAATCTTAAATAGAAACCCCGCTTTGCCAGATTAGGTTTCTTTATGCTCCAATTTGACCACAGGATTTTGCATTTTGGATTACAGGTAGTGCTGCAATCGCAAACTGAAAATGGGGTTCATATTGTTTAAAAATAGAGATACGTAAAATTGAATTGCAAATTAATCAAATTGAAACTGATGCAACTATTTATAACGAAATTGATTGCAATTTGAGAATTTATGATATATCATAATGTCTGTCACAAATATATGATTTATGCTTGCTTATTAGGCACTACCTAATGTCAGACTAAGGCGAATAGATATGCTAGTAAATATTTCATACCTATAAAATTTCTGCACCCACCAGCAGTGCAGTTTTTTGTCCACGATCCTTCAAACATACTCATTTCCCACTTCTTTTTAGATTTCTTAGTCAGGGGTTCATCATCCAGAGAGTCAGGATTTAAATTACATATCTCTACTCGTTGGAAATTAGCCATGAAATCTTTGTACGATATCCTGATAAAAAAAANTGTCCCATCTTTCGATTGCATCGTCGGTTCTTCTGCATCAAGGCGACGATGATTGTGCATAAATCGTCATCATCATCTTCATCAACATCTTCCAGAACTACTCGAAACTGAGGGTTCAACCAGAATGTATCTGGAAAAGAAATGAAAACAATTAATTTAAATGTAACAAAACAAACATTATATAAAAGTAACTTAGATTAATTTAAATCTAACGCAAATCAAGTTAAGGTAGGTAGGTATATTTACGTCGCACTAGAGCTGCACAATGTGCTATTGGCCACGGTCTGGGAAACATCCCTGAGCATGATCCGAAGACATGCCATCGCAATTTTGATCCTCTGCAGAGGGGATGGCTCCCCTGCTTTGGTAGCCCTTACGACCTGCGCGCGAAGTCGATGCATTTAAGCAGTTTGACGAGAACCGATACCGCACACCCTCCGTCTCTATGCAGGCTGATCAAAGCCGTCACCCACTTGCTTACTAACCGCAGCCAGTGATGCTTGACTTCGGTGTTCTACTGGGAACAGTGTCTTTACTATCAGATTACTGAGGGACTAACTAAGGTCATTTAAATCTAACGTTTCTAATTAATAAACTTTAATCATTATAACCAGATACATAAATAACAGTGCGTCTAAGGTATCCGAAAAGTAAAGAAATGATCAAATACCTCGAAATCATCCATAAGATCAAAAATCTGAATATTACGGAGTGAAATAATTTCAAAAGATGTCCTCAATGATGTAAATTTGACCCTCCAATCTTAAATATTGGGGGGGGGGGGCACAACTTCAAAATTTTAAATAGAATCCCCTCTTATCCAGATTTCATTTCTTTATGCTCTAACTTGCTCACAGGATTTTGCATTTTGGATCACAGGTGGCGCTGCAATCGCAAACTGAAAATGGCGTTCATATTGTTCGAAATTAGAGAGATATGTAAAATTGAATTGCAAATTAATCAAATTGAAACTATTTGTAACTAAACTGATTGTGATTTGAGAATTTATAATTTCTCATAATGTCTTTCATCTACAGTCTCTAACCAAATTTTTAGACGCACTGTAAGATTCTGCCGCATCTTTTTGTTCTTTTCAGGCTCCGTTTGTCCCCTGACCCAATTTTCTTCTTTATGCGTCTTACGCTAACTTCAGAAAGCTTCAATCTTTGTGATATTTAGCGGTTTGAAAATATTTTAGCATTCACGAGGGCCTTTACTTCAGCTTTTTTTACATTGTGAAAGACCGCCTTTTTTTACCCATAATGAAAATGTTCCAATAGATTATTTATACTCTGCACACAAAATAAACAAACAACTGCGTAGTATAAAACTGCGAAACAAATAAACACAGCGCATAAAGAACAGAAACGCGACCGCAGCTGACGCACGCGAGAACGAGACTGAAACCGGTTTGCATTTGTTTACGTTCGTGTATCAATGGATTAAATTAGGCGATATATAATATAAATTCGACGATAGGATAAATTAGACTATAAATTCATATTAGTATATTATCATATTAGTATCATATATCATATTAGTATATTATCGTATTAGTATATTATCATATTAGTATCATATATCATATTAGTATCATATATCATATTAGTATATTATCGTATTAGTATATTATCATATTAGTATCATATATCATATTAGTATATTATCATATTAGTATCATATATCATATTAGTATATCATAATAATTAGACCAAATTATTAGACGCACTGTAGTTTTTTTAATAATTGCATGTGTTGCACGACTTCGTATGCAATACTTTTATATTTAAACATACACGTATTGGGTTTTTATTGAGGAGATTTTTTATATACTTTCTATTTGTATTTATTTTTAACGTCTTGCATTACAATGTTAACCAGTTGATATACAATCGTAAACAAGTGCAAACTGGTATAGCATCACCAGATAATCTTATAGTGAGATAGTAATCTTAAAGAATATTACAGTACGTATGATAATTTGTGCAGGGACTGTATATATGATTTATGCCTGTATATATGATTTATGATACTGTATATATGATTTATGACTGTATATATGACTTAGACACTAAAGTCAGACTAAAGCGAATAGTAGTTTAGATATGCTAGTTGTTAAATACGATGATCTCGGGGTCTTAAATCATTACAAACGCCTTTAACATAATATATGAAAACATGAAAGATGTTTACGATACAGTGCCAAAGAGGAAACTGAATTACAATTAATGATATCACATTACTGTGCAGAGCGCCATCTGTTGAGTTTTAGAAATTATTATTAACATTGAGAAATATTATTAACACTGGTAAATATTTCATACCAATAAAGTTTCTGCAACCACCAGCAGTGCAGTTTTTGGTCCACGATCCTTCAAACATACTCATTTCCCACTTCTTTTTAGATTTTTTAGTCAGAGGTTCATCATCCAGAGAGTCAGGATTTAAATTACATATCTCTACGCGTTGGAAATTAGCCATGAAATCCTTGTACGATATCCTGGATAAAAAAAAAAATAGGTATAAGATGAGCTCAATTTGAGCCAGCCCGAGTCAAAATTCTTGATGGTCCTTTTCCATCAAACCATTCATGATGGTCCAACATAGTTTGATGGTCACTATCATCCAACATTTTCCATTATGCATTCATGGTTTCTGATATGCCAGCAAACTACCATCATTCCATGCTGGAAAATGCTACTCTAATGCTATGATGGTTAACCATCAAGAGATATTTGATTCTCATGGACCAACAATCCATGATGGTTCTAACTGTACATCTCCATGATGGTTTAGTGGGAATTCTCGTTGGTTCTCAGGAATATATCATCAAAACAGTTTTTTTTTATGTTCTTAAATTAGTCCAGATTCCTACATTGGGATGATGGTTTTTCATGATCGTTCCAACATTTGATTTCTAAGAAACTATGATGGAAACTGTCCGATGGTTCAACATGAACAAACCATCAAAACAAGTTGCTATTCTTATGTTGAGCCATCATTAATCAGTCCGATTTCCTGGGGTTATGGTTACTTATGTTGGTTACCATCACAAATATAACGGTCATGATGGAATTATTGATAGTTACCATCAAGATTATGTTTGTCCACCAATGGAAAACCATCAAAAACTTTGACTTGGGTGGGTTTGTTATACTTTGAAACTAAATAAATTTACAAAAATCTGTTTGATTTTGTTATTAGGGATAAAAAGGAAGTATATGGAAACTATCATCAACCATATACCCTTACTATTCTTTCAACTTAAATAAATAAACAAATTCTCTTTGGTTCAGTTATTAAGTACAAAAAAATTCAACAAATTATTAGGTGTAAAAATTGGGAAGTATTAAATACGTTATTAAGAAATATCAATTGTAAGTATATTTTAATTGGCCTTTCTGTTCTTAAGTTTTAAAAGTATATCTTCGCGAATTTCGGTCTGTACCTGTTATACTGATCTCGAGAACTCATGTCTATAAGAAATACATTTATACATTGTATTAGTGAATATCGGGTTTCAGCTTCCGTTAACTATTATTCGACTTTTTTTTTATTAAAAATTCAATGATTAAAAAAACAGTTTTGGAAATCCTGTTCCGTTTGAGATTGTATAATCGATTCATTTAATCACAAAGAAAATAATTGGTTAAAAAGTTATACCACGAGAAAAAGAATGACAGCCAGTAGAATTTGTATTTACTTTAAAATTGAAAATTTAAACGTATTAAGGTGTATGTAATAAAACCGGTGACAGAGCTTCGAATCTTGTCGAATGTTGAGTTTTCCTCGAATGCTTTTGTTGCAACATTCGCAACTTTAATGCATCATTTAACTACTTTTAAATATGCGGGGGGAAAATCCGTAATGATATATAGCTTTTTTTCCGGAAGTATTAATTATTGAAAGAAAATATAAAACTTTATTTACGTACCAAAACTCACCGTCTCCATCGAATCTCAACCCCAATTGTTCCTTTTCTTCATCTGATATCAGCGTCCATTCCTGGGATCTGATAAATAAAAATCACTTGTATCCATAGACATTAGGTAATAATAAAAAGCGCTCACTTAAATCAGCGGTTCTCAATCCATTGGTCACGGCCCATAAGGGAGCCACTAGGGACATTTTGGCTTTTAGCCATGGGCGCTGGATGAAAGTCTGGACCAAGATAATTCTTAGGGTCTAATACCAGCCTGTCCTTCCGCCTGTCTTATATACATATAATAGGTGTCTCGCTTGTTGCAAGTAGTTTATTTTTATATGCATTGTTAAACAGCGGGCCCAACTTTCGGGTTTAAAACTACTAATGTTCAACTCCGTAGCCTTGTAATTTTGAATCCAATTCAGAAGGCAAGGAAACTCCTGGATCAAGTATTGGGAGAAATTTGCCCACATGCAGGACTTTTTTCATAGAACTAACCCGCACTTGTGTTCCAAGGTGAAGAAAACCACGAAAATCTTCCAAGGTTAATCTAACGGCAAGGAGACTAACACATGATCCGTCTACCACTGATGATATTTTACGTCAGTACTGTGGTCGGTGCGAGCCGGGAGCGGAATTCAAATCCCAGCCATTACTGGGATCGAACACGCGTCATCTCATTGGGACACGAGCGCTCCATCCCCTGAGCCACCACGGCTCGTTTATGGAATGCAAAATATTTTTTTTCTTCACAAAACTGGTGAGCGCGCGGTATAGCCTAACTGGTAGGGCGTTAGGTCCATGTTCGTCTTAGTAAGTCCTATCCCCGCCGACCAAAGACTCCCCGTGCACAAAATGGTGACTGGCGCAATGCTAAATCAGTCGGGGTCACAAAGTCCTCCAAGATCCAGTAACAAATCAAAACCTCTGGGGGTACTGGATCGGATGATTGATCGTGCTCTGGTATTGGTCAAAATTACGATCTGCGGATGGATGGTATGTGAATACGTCCCTGTAAAGCGGGATGTGACGTATGTGTGTTGTCTCCAAATCATCCTCATGGATGTATCTAAGACCGCCTCCAATAGCACATTGTGCAGCTCTAGTGTGACGGTAATAAAAGAAAATCAGTTGTCCGCGTAACTAAAAAGGTTTGGAACCGCTGACCTAGATGGTTAGAATAGTTTTTTATGAAATAAAATAAATTTTCTCTCAACCAGTATCATATTAGTTATGGGAGTACTAAAAATGAAACAACAAAAATATCATTAAACAAAAAACATATATAAAGTAATATGGATAAATTTCTTTTCGTTTGACAAAAATTATTTTTAATCGGAAAAAAAAGTAAGTACTGCGATATTCAAAGCTAGAAAAAATAACCACTTTGTTAACTGCTACAAACTAGGGTTAACTCAAATATGGGTTTACGAATACCGATGTCAAACCCCGTAGAGTTTTAATTTTGAGCCCAATCCAGAAGGCAAGGGAACTCCTGGATCAAGTATTGAGAGAAATTTGTCCCTGTGGAGGATTTTTTGATGCAACTAACTCGCATTTGCGTTACGTGGAAAGGAAAACCACGAAAGAATCCCACGGTAAACCTAACGGCAAAGCGACACTAACCGATGATCCGTCTACCATTGAGGATATATTACGTTGGTACTGTTGATGGTGCGAGCTGGATTTGAATCAAACTGCCATTGCTGAGATGCGAACCCGGTTCACCTTAATGAAAGGCGAACTCGAACAACTCATATCGATCTTTCTGAGCTATTAGCCTTTTCATGATTCTTAACATTGAATCTGTATTAATAACAAGCAGCAGTTATGCTTGTACTTAGAGTGTTACGCCTGTTTGCATTTAAGTAAAACAAGTATTCTATCTGTAGTCAGAATTCTTATCCAAGAAAGTGTGAACGGGAACACTCTCTTTTTGCAGGCAGGGCACACCACCCTAAATGCCATTGACAAATGATATTTTTAAATTGATAACCATATGGTATAGACTTGATATATAATCCATTATTGATTATTGAATATTATTATAAATTAATGTATTCATTAGAAACCTTTTAATATAAGGTTTGTGTAAAACTGCATCCAGTCAAATGGATTAATGAACACAAAAATGTCAAATATGTTTAGTAAAATTACGATCTGTGAATGAATGAATGAATGGATGTATGAATGGTTCGCTTTATAAACGGGTGTGACGTATGGGTGTGGCAGAAGTCGAATTTTTGGCCCGAGATGGCACCACTGGAAAACAAAAGCAATCGCACCCGTAATACCTTAATAGCCTACGACAACAACATTATTTCACTAAATAAATTTTCCAATTCGAAAAACAAAAATCTATAAGTAACGAAAGTATTTTCAAATTATATTTCGTAAGAAAGAAAAAATTAACAAAACCAAAAAAGCAAATTTTAAAAAAAAATTTGGCAGGATCCGAACGAAAAAAACTTTTTGATCGCAAAGAGAATTATAAGTTAACTTTTTATAAAATGAACCTGCAGAGAGGAGGTTGATTTCCAATGTTTTACGAACCGATCACTCCATGCGCCCCTCCATTCGCACTCGTTTCCCCAAGGATTTCGCACCCTCAGCAATGGAATTTTACCTTTGATTCGAGATGTCTGAACCTCTACCTGTAAAAGAGAAAGAAGAAAAAATCAAGCTTTTAAAATAATTAGGTAAAAAAATTAGTTACAATTTTATCAGCAAGATTGGTAGAGACGCTTAGATTCAACCTCAGTTTGTTAAACCACATTATTCACTACGTACAAAATAGTTTTTAACAAATGAAGAGATAAGTTAAAAAAAGTCTTTTACTTATATTTTACCAAGTTTACAAGCATCATCTTTAGAAAACAAAGCAACAGCAGGAACCTGTTTAAAAAATAAATTTTCTCATTAAAAACTTATCTTTTACTGTTTTCCTAAGGCCCTGTCGTCACATGACATAACGCTTCTCTTTTGTGAATAATATTCTTTTTTATTGCTTTGAGTTCGCAATTCGTGATTTGCAACGCTCGAATACGCCTTCTGTGGAGCGATGACCAGTTCCATGTCTGGTCCCTTTTCCCTTTCCCACTCCTCCTCTTTTCAGTTGTATAGGAATGTAAATATTATGATATTTTCCCCTTTCTTAATATTTTTCGTATTTAATTGCAAAAATATTTGTTTAAATTTCCACGACGTTTTTTAATATAAACTTACTTTGGTTCCATTAAGAATTTTTTAATTACATACTTTTTTAAAAAATTAAAATAGACTTGTACTTACTAGCTTAACTTTGGTAATGCTGTAGGCGTGTCCTCTTATTAAACCATTGGGCATTTCAGCCTCCACAATATTTGGATCTGGCTAAAAAAGAAAACTAGACTTAAGAATTATTATTTAAAAATAAAATATGTGTCATAAGTTGCAACATATGTTTCTGCTTTATTAATAAGCCTATATTAAAATTGTTTAAAGTATTCCCTTAAATATTGTTTAAAATTAATCGAGTCACAAGAAGTGAAGGGTCGCACCGTTTTTTGATAAAATGTTTCATTTTCCTTAAATTATGTATTTTTGTAAAATGTATGTATTGGGTCTGCATCTGTTTTTTATTTCATTATTAAATTATTTTTCGAATTCAAATAAAAAAAATTAAACATTTACTTGGTAATCGTGGTCATCATCATCATCATCAATGACTCAACACCCCAGGGTGGGCCTTGGCCTTCTCAAGAAGTGTTTTTTTCTGGCTATCCTTTTAGCTGCTAGTGTTTTCTAATTTTTAGTTTTAGACAAAAAGGTCTCTTTCTAGGTCATCTATCCATCTCCAATTCGGCCTGCTTCTTTTTCGTGGTACGGTACGGTCTTCGTCCATTTTGATAACGTGGGAAATTGTGGTAATTTAGAGAATTTCAAACCAAATACAGTTAGAAATAGAAATATGTACCTTCGACTGTTATTTAAAAAATATTTATACATAAAATGCTAAAATTTCTTGCGTTCCCCCAACGACACTGTGTGTAAGAAAAACAAAGTCTGCCAAGATTCTTTTTTTTTTAAAGCTGTATTTTTAATCTGTCGTTTTGCAAGAACAACAGTTTAGTCGGAGGAGTCTGATTTTCTTGCAATTAATGAAAAGAATTGAAGATCAAAGATAAACCGGAAGTCATTATGGAGAAATCTTCCAGGGAAGGCATTGGCCCCCATTGGGCTGTCTGGCCTACTATGATGGTGAAGATGTTTCGAAAGAACTATACGACCGATTTCGTTCAAATATTTGTTTGTTTTTTATAATTACATAGCTTAAAATGATGTTAAAAACTTATACACCTAATTCAAAGTTTTTAGACTATAATTAAACAAAATAAATTTTCAAACCCAGATAAACTGATACCCATATGTGGGATGGACTTCAAATTGCAGATGGGGTATTGCAATCCCAACCCTTCACACAATGACCAGCTCAGTGAAAATNTAATTTTCGTAATTTTATATTAAAAATGAAAAGCAAATTATATTTCCGAAGTAATATTACAAAATAACGGGAAAACGTGAAAAAAGAAAATAATTTTTGTTTGTCGGTATATTTAGTCCACCTTTGCAATACGGTAAAAATGGGGCAGGTTTTTTCGAAAGAAGAAACATCAAAGAAGACAACAAAAAAAAGGTTAGCTAATTACCTCGTGGATCTTTTTGGAACTAAGGTTTGAAAGTGATTCTAACATTGTAAAATGTCACATGATAAGATACAAATTATAAGTTTGTTAAGAGTATTAACTAATCCTACAAATTGAAAAATTGTACTATAATTTCAGACTAATTACTCTGATAAAAATGCAACAGTAAGGCGAAATTCCTATGCATATTTCTGAAATATAAATTTAAAAGTTACATTTAAAAAAAATTTAAAATGCTTTTCACTACATTGTACTCTCGTCGATCCAAAAAGTAAATTACAATGTTTGGAATGATTATAAATACTCAATTTGGTCGATATTAAAGCTGCCTAAACATATATTAGTTGAAACTTAATTTTTGACTTTTGGCCAAAGATCATGGTTTTCTGGTCCACTGTGCAGTGATCAGAAGTAGCAAACTATAAGTAGTGAAACTACTGTAGTCAAAACTTTTTTTCGTAGTCTGCAGTGTACTACTTTTTTAAAAAAAGTAGTGAGTAGTGCGATACAAAAAAAAAATTCGTAGTTCTTAATTAATATTCTTAAATTAATATTTAAGAAAGGAAAAAAATATAGAAATTTGACAAATTGCAGGTAAGAAAGATGGGTATAGAGAACATCAAAACATATCTGATTGCCGATTGAAACTTGAAGGTGCTTCGTTCACAAGCCTTTTTTTGTGAGTTCGTTTCCTTAATCGTAGCGTTCCTTGATAGCAATTTGTAAACCCTAAAGTGCATAATTTTTTCGAATCCTCTGACTAGGATTCTAAAATATATCTAATGGTGGTAGTCATGCGAGCAGGATAAACAGGCACACAATTTTATTTACTCATCTTTATTAGAGAATGAATAGTAGAGTGACACAAAATCGTTGTGCTCGTCAATAAAAGCTAAGGAAAATCTTGCAAAGTAAATCCGTAAAGTGTTTTGATTTAGGGAATAAGGGAAATCTCAGTAGTTATAATGGGTTTGTTACATAGGTCCGGGGAAAAAGTCTATCTCACGAGTTAGTTAGAGGGATAAAGCTTAAAATGTTAGTTAATGTATACTTGAACTAAAAATAGATTAAAAGACTGGATGTGGATTTTAAAGTGTGAGAAAGAGCGTTTCGTTTTGAATAATAAATTAAGAAAAATATTTACAGAAAAGGAATGTCCTAAAATTATCAATTGAAGCTTTTTATGTTACATATATATAAGTTAAGCTTCGAAAGCATTAAGATTTTAATTACAAAACATTGATATTTGCGATGTTTGACAAAGTTACCTCTATAGAGCAGCTCAGGAGTGACCACCGGTCAAATGCCTTGTGGAGGATCTTGTAGAAATTAGGCGGAGCTTTACTCAGTTCATACACTTCAGTCACTCCTCCCGTGAAGTCTTCCATCGCTTCACACGCTGTACCACCCTTCAATGCCTCGTAGCTCCCATGAAGTCTGTGGACCACAAATATAGATTACAGAGGGCAAAATCAAGATATGTCGCGACTGGCCATTGGCCGGTTGTAGTAATTTTAATTTTTTGCAGTACGAATACAATTTATTGCAGCATTATTAATGGGGGCCACATTTCAAAACATGTACCCATTTTTTGAAAAATTAAAAATTTAATTTTTATTCTAATGATTAAATTTAAACTATTACAAAAAGCGGTTGACATTAATAAATTAAAGCTTTAATTAAAAACATGGTAAGCCTACCAAGGTTAACTTCTAAAATAAAGAAAAGTTTAAATAATGATAAAAAAAAATAAAAGAAACGAAATGTAATGCATTTTTGACGAAAAAAATGGCGACTACAATTTTTTAAATCGCCATTTGTTACATTTATTTGCCTGCCGACTGGACCGTGCAGGGGTCAGGGATCTGACCCTGCATCAAAAAGGTTTTGGGTTCGAATTCCAGAAAAAGCATGTATGTTCTTTTACTCTCCGTACTATCTGTCCTTACTGTGGGAGCAACGGTGGCCCACTTATTATAGAGCCCCTAAAAGGGTGGCCAACAAATCTGTCCTGTAAATGCCTGAATTGACGAAATGTTAACACAGGTGGGCATTGGATATAGAAAAATATTTAGGTACCCTGTAATCGGTGGCGATCGTAAAGTTTGTCCAATACTATATCTCTCGTTGAAAATACACGCAATCGATTATAAAGTTATATTCATTTCAAAGTAAGACATAAGTTTCTAGTAGTATTTAAAATTTGTTCTCATGTAAAAGTAATCAGAATTGCGCGCGTATTTGCAGTAGTAATGCAAAACAGAAACATGGCAAAGACATACTAATGTGACCAACTATTAATTTCGACATACTGTATCAACTAATCATTAATGTCAGACATAAGCTAAATTAAATCCCCGTAAGTTAAATAAGAAAATGCTTTCACAAGACACATAAATTTAGTAAGAAACATTCATTTACAAAGATTAAAGAAGCATTTAAAATTGTTAATTGAACCATTTTCTGCTTTCAACTTTTACGTAAATTAAGTTTCCGTGATTTGGGAAACCAACAAGAAGTCTAAATAGGACTGGATCGATTAATTTATTTAGTTTGATACGCTTTGAGCTGTCCATTTTTGTGGATACCAAAACTAGAAAAAAATATGTAATTTGAATTTTAAATTGATGATGAAATCTGCAACTGAGTGAAACCTGCAACAAACTGACAGCTGAAACCTGCAACACAGCAGGTGATAATGAACATAATTCTTCCGCCAAAAAGAAGATACACAAGAAAAACTACTAACACGTAAAGTACAAAGATATGAAACAGAACTACAAAAAAAACAGAAGGGAATTAGTTAAACAAAAACAATTTCTTGGCTCAAAAAAAAAAAAAATGGAGAAGTAGATTGATTTTTCATTCGGAATCGGGCAGGGATGAAGGAAGTTCCCAGGTCGCTGCAAAATAAGTAACATCTTTTCCACACAGTTTTGAGCGAAGCAATGTAAAAAATAGAAATTAAACAAAATCAGTTTATTTCATGAAGAATGAAAGTTTTTTACGATCTGTGAATTTCAGTGATAAACAGATGATCAATACTGCGGGTGTACCACAATTGTTAAAGACTGCAACCTAGTAAGTTTCGAACTCAGTTTTAGGAGGAAAAAGATCTCCAGGAACTACTTTCGGAGTGAAATAACATTTAGAAAAACCATCCCATGTCAAAAATTGCAATACATTTAATCATTGGGTGAATTTGCAAACATGTTATCGATGTACACTGAAAGCAATAGCATATGAATCAACAGGCTGTCACCATAGTTGATTCTATATGTGTGGTACATACTATATCAACCAAGTAAAAAAAACATTAAAGAACATAAAATATTTTGTATTTTATGTTCTTTAATGTTTTTTTTACTTGGTTTTTAATAAACATTTACCCGTATGCCCTCAATTGGGGCAGGTCGGGGTAAATATTTTCATACTATATCAACTATCAATTCTATATCTTTAAACAAATATAATTGTACTGGTAAAACCCCTCATTTGAGGCTCTATGTGTTAGTTCTGTTACCTCTCTAATCAAAATTGGAATTTAATTTACGAATACAGAAAAAGCTGTCAGTTTTGGTTTCTCCACTGACAACAGAAAGGCTCCTGTGTGTTGGCAGGCAGTGTGTACCCTGATGAAGTCCTGTCTTGCCAACACACATATCTTTTATTTTTATTGCTTTTTCCAGCTTTTTTTTAATTTTTTTTTGAATATCTAAATTCCTCTAATAACCTTCCTTCATACAATTATTTTTGTCAAAACCTACCGTAATTTTGAGCACACGACACACTAATGTGATCAGTTTTGCAACTGAGTTTATAAATTTTTTAAAAATGCCTTATAAAATATTACGTGCCATTTCTGATCACAATTTTGTACATTACAATGATTACAATTACAATACTGAATTAATGATTACAATTTTGTAATTAGTAATTCAATATTGTCCATAAACTTTTTTGGGGTTCATGGAATAAATAGAGGCGATAGAAAAAAATGAATTTAGTAGAAGAGAAGTAAATCAGGCGTAAACCAAGAGTATCTTACCTTTGTGTCGTAGAATCGCCCCTGTTAAGCACGATTTTCGAAATAAAATTCAGGAAAAAAAATTTCCAGTAGTTTTTGATTTTTTGTTGTCTATTTTTTGTTTGTTGACTCTTACTGCTGCTATTTGTTGACTATTTTTATGAAATCTGTTTTTTGTTGCTTTGCATCAAAACATACTTTATAATGTGATTTTATAAACACAACGAATAATTCTAATGCTTATTCGCACAATATATATTTACTTTCTTACTTAGCGTATGCTTTTTCTAGAAGGGCACTCCAAAACTCGTTGTTGTTTTTCGAATGCATAAAGACCAGTTGTCCACCGCAAGTAGGCAGCCTATCGTCCACCACGATGTCCACCCACCTACCGTACTGCCAGAAACGAAAATGGAAAACTCCGGCGTAATCTTTAACAAAAGACTGGTCATTTGGGACCACTCTGAAGAAGAGGGAATCATTGAGGGTTAAATTGGCAACAGCAGCCAAGAGCCAACAATCACCTAGCATTGAGGGAAAAAATAATAATTTCAGCATATACGCAACAAATGCAGTTTCACAATATGCGCAGTTTCAACCTTGTTTTTACATTCAAACAAAATAGTTAACAGAAATAAACAAATGGCAAATCAGATAGGAATTAGGTAAAACAGGTAAACTCAAAATGAATGTCCCATTTACATTTGAAGCATACAATAAATGTATTTATTAAAAATTTCTATACAAGCAGCAGTAATATAAGCACGTTTGATAAGTAGGGGAGAGGGGGGCACATGTGAACAAATTTTTTTTATTTCTTCATTTTTCAAAAAATATCAATTTTACACAGTAAAGAAGTCCATATGTTTAAATAGTCTTTTCTTTGCCTTATGGAATTTTTTGAGATTTTTCAATAAAATATTTCTGTATTTTATGATACTTTAGAAAAATGACTTCAATTGTTCACATGTGCCCCCAATAGGGGCACATGTGAACACAAAAAAAGACTCCGCGGGCCGGATGCGGCCCCAGTTGGACACCCCTGATAAAACTAAATTTAAAAAAAAAATTCAAATAAAATAAAAATTGTCTTTGGAAATGCACGCCAGTTTAAAATTTCAGTTGTTTAAAGACATCAAGAAATGTAGAAGGATTTTTTCTGAGTAATCTCATATTTAACATACAAGAAAAAACGAAGTTTAACGAGCGTATAACGAGCGTAACCGAAACTGTAGCACTCAATTTCTGCTGCGCGAGATTTTTCAGTTTCACAGAATGACGCTATAGCAGAGTAGGATCCATAGATTCCATCTCTCACCTTTTAATTTTCTTTCTTTTGTATTCTGTAAACATTTACAATCGAATATTTCTCTTAACATTATCATTATTTATCACTAGGAGGCTTCGCCCCCTGCTCGCTAGCGCTCGCCAACCCCCGGAACTGCTTTCGCAGTTCATTTCGGATTCCTTCGCAATCCGATGCTCGCTCATTAGATACGTTCTTAATGTCTAGCTTTTGTATACTTTTTTTAACACTGAAGTTCAGAAAACTTTTCACTGTAGAAAATTCTAAACCTGTGCATTTCAATATTAATTTGAAATTGCAAACAGTTCACGTATTTTTCTTAATCACACTATTCTAAATTTCAGTTGTTGAGAAAAGTAACTGTAGTAAGTTTTGTTTTAAAGTCTTTCCCACCGGAGGCCTAAAACCATGTGTTGTAAAACAATATGAAATAGTACTGAACGCCGGATGTAAAGCATCGGCTTCGATGAAGATAGTTTTGTGAGAATTGTTTTGATAATTCGGTGAGAATTCACCCGATTAGACATATGATGCTCACTACGTGCTCTTGCGCGCCGAAGCCTATCAATTAAAACGTATTAGCGTTTTATATAATATAGATTAGCCATATGATGCTCACTACGTGCTCCTGCGCGCCGAAGCCCATCAATTAAAAATGAAAACTGTTGCCAACGCGAGAAAAGAAATATCATCGGTTTCATTGATACACACGTATTAGCGTTTTATATAATATAGATTACTAATTTTTTTAATCTTTATTAAATAGATTTTTCTTTGTTGTAAAATGTTTGATAAATACTTTAGTATTTATTAGTATTTCAGTTTACTTATTTTGTGCCACGAAATAAAACTACCTCAATTTGCTAAGAGGACACAGAAGCATTTTAATAAAAAATCATTAAAAAAGTACTCACCTAGTTCCCCCTGAACGACATCAAATCTAGATGCTCCTTCGACAAAAAGACGGGGTTCATCACTTAATTCCTAAATCAAAATAAAATACCAGTTACTTAATTTCACGGATGAGAACAAAAGGTTAGGTTTCTATATATAGTTCTAAATTTGCTTCAAATTAATTGTCAAAATAATTGAGTGACACTTGCCTATACTTTTCGACATAGAATTGGCATCTCGAAGTTACGTAACTTCTCTACTCTCCACACTTTTCCCCTCTTCATTACCATGGTTTCTGTAAATCTTGCTTTTTTCCCCCACGCAAATACGTTTCAATAAAAAGTTGGAATATGCTGGCTTTTTATAACCGTCGTTGAACAGTCGACCCAATTTTGGGTTTGCTAATGTTCAACTCCTTAGCCTTGTAATTTTGAACACAATCCAGAAGACAAGGGATCTCCTGGATCAAGTATTGGGAGAAATTTGCCTTCATGGAGGACTTTTTGATGGAACTAACCAGCACCTGAGTTGCAGGGAGAGGAAACCTACGAAAACCTCCCATGGTTAGTCTAACGGTAGAGGGACTAACCCATGAAAAATTATCATAGTCGGATCACACACGTGAACCTTTAAATATGAGTCCGAGTAGGTGAAAATCCTATCATTAGATAAAAAGTTATTCAGGATGATCGTCCTTTTTATCTCTCTAACTTTCTTTACTACTTAATAATTTAAATAAAACAAAAGTGAATGAGTAAGAAATGTAAGTAAACAGTGTAATTTTATAAATTTGTTATAAATAAATAATAAGACCGAACCAAGAATGAATGAAGAGAATATATCACGCTGTTATGTTCAATAGCATATTAGAAGACATCGAGGTTAATATTTAATAGGATGATGTTATTTTTTCGTGTTATGTCACTAGCAAACCGCAATTGAGAAACACCTTTCTCTCCCACATAGAATGGAAAACACGGAGAGGCGTAGAGTAACTTTGGAGCTTGTCCAAAATGTATATAACCATGAATTGGAAGACGACACCCTTTTGCTTTCAATTGTCACGAATGTTTTTCAAGTATCGAAACATATTTTTGGAAAAGAAAGAATAATTTCAAATTTCGCTTCTCTGTACTTATTTACCTCATACATAAAGATAAAAAAGAATAAATGACCGAGAAATTTATTTATTAGTTTCAATTTTTTTTCCTTTGTAAGCAAAATTGAAATATACGAAAATTTTTATTTAATCTTTAAAAAATATTAAGTTGGTTTGAACTTTTTTAGAATCGAACGGGGAAAACTTGATGAATAACTTGAATAATTTTAATTCTCAAAATGAGGTTAACAATTTTACAAGAGTGTAACGCGATAAGACATAACACATAGACGTAACGTATCAGAGATAACGCATTATTTACGGCATAATACGTACTAAGACGTAAGATGTGGTCCTACAGTGGACAGATAGTTAAGGCACGGTTTCCAGCAGATTACCGAAGTCGAGCATCACTGGCTGCTGTCAGTAAGCGGGTGGGTGACCATTTTGATCAGCCTGAGTAGGAACTGAAGATGTGCGTTATCGGTCCTCGTTAAACCGTTCTACAGTCAAGTGCTCGACTTCGCGTGCAGGTCGTCGGGCTACCGAAGCGGGGGTGGCATCCCCTCTGCAGAGGATCAAAATTGTGATGGCATGTCTTCGGATCATCCTCAGTGACGGTCGCCAATAGCCCATTGTGCAGCTCTTGTGCGACGTAAAGGAACTACAACGACAACGTAAGAGGCAACAAGTAAAAATTATTTCTTCTCCTTTAAACCTAGAAAACTAAACATTCGTCTCATAAGTTACCGACTCCTGCCAGTCATGCAAATTCAAGATGTTTCTGTGGTGCTGGCACTACCTCACTCACAATGTCTTCCTAACTACTATAATGAGTTATCCAAAAAGTGATAAGCACATTTATTCAGTTGTTTCGTTTCGAGATTATCTGTTATCTTCGCCTATATAGCAGTGGGATGTTGAGTTTTATCAAAACATTTAAGATTTTTTGAAATATGGAAAAGCCCACAGATGCAGCGAACAAAAGCAGAGTTTTTCTTATGTATATTTTATAACCATCGTTGAACAGCCGAACCAAATTAAGGTTTCCATCTACTAATGTCCGTAGCCTCGTAATTTTGAATCCAATCCAGAAGACAAGGGAACTTTTGGATCAAGTAGTGGGGGGAGTTTACCTTCGTGGAGGACTTCTTGATGGAACTACGTTACATGGAGAGGGAAATGACGAAAATCTCCCACGGTTAGCCTGACGGCAAAGGGCCTCTAAACCATGATCCGTCAACCACTGAGGATATTTCAAGTTAACACTGTAATCGGTGCAAGCCGGAGGCGGAATTCGCATCGACCCACCATCATTAGGATTCGAACCCGGTTCACCTCATTGGAAGGCGAACGCTCTATCCCCAGAGCTCCAAGAGCAGAGCTTGTACTTTCTGTTCATCTAAGAAACGTAGAATGTCAAAATACGTATGCAACAAAGCTATCTGTGGAAAGCGCACTTTTAACTTCTGTAAACGATCATTTGTACTGTATTTCTAATTTTTTATTTGAAGTAATATAAAATAAATAAAGGAACTATTAAAATGTTCTTGATATTCATTCGTAAGTCTATGAGTCGAAAGATTAGTTACCAATTAATTACTGATTTAACTGATTATTTATTGATTTCAGTTCAGTTATCTGGGGTTCATACGCTTATTGTGACAGACTGCTGCGGTGTTATGTACTTTAAACATCATTCACTTCTCTTGAAATTTTATGAACTAATTCAAGTTCTGCTCATGGAAATAATTTTGTATGCTTTTCTCGGGGGGGGGGGCATGCGGAATTTTTTTTTACATAGTGAATATATTTGTGAAATCACATGCCTATAACTCCTCATGTTTAACTTTAAACTTTATGAATTAAGGAATTACACGATTTGTATAAATAGTATTTGTTACAATTTTGCAAATAGAAAAAAAAAGTATTTTATTATTTAATTTTGTATACTAAAAAGGGAACCCTTATTTCCCTTTTTAGCAAAATCAACGGTATCTAAATAACTTAAACAAGCAAACTATATATTATTGCTAAATAGTGTTTTCTGAGCTTAAAAATGAACAAATGTTTTTCAGATTCAAAAAATTATTAATTTTGTTTGAAATTTTTGATAATTCAGCAAATATGTTTCAATCTAATTGAAAAACATTATAAATGTCAATGAATATTTTTTAATTTTGGTGAAGTTCATATATTATGTATTACACAGTAAGCATATTTTAGAATATTGAATTCTCTAGCCAACGAATATAAGCAATTCACAAGCACTCTCCCATACTTCAGTAAGAAAATCGTATGATTCCCTCTCTTCTTTTTTTCGCTTTTACTTTAACCTTTATTGAGGTAATTTCATTTTAGGAATAAACTGAAGAAAAAAAAAAGATACAATTATACACCAAACAAATATGCGTCTGCGGTCAAAACACTTTATCCCTGAAAATCATTAAATAAGTTTTTTTCAACTCTTTCTTTCTCCAAACTTAATCTCAAAAGTAAAAATTTTCTAATTGTAATTTTTTAAAATTATTACCTTTTTTTAAGAAAAAATTGAAAATAAGAGGATTTCAATGTGTTAAGTAAGCACTGCTCACAGCCCTTGTCATCAAAAAACCCTCAGTCAGATGCTACACCATGTTTGAATTGTCCCTTCTGTTTATTTTTTATAAATAAAAAATTTATTTAATTAAAAAAAAAAAACTACGGGTTGCCTTCATATTAAAATGTTGCATCATTTTCATTACAGGATGCAAATTAAAGAGACGGTACTAACTAATTTATCTGCTATTAATGACTGTCACAACAATCATGAAAACAGAATTATTATGCGCTAGAGAAGTCGTAATAACAAAATAAATAAATATAATTTTTTTGTTTTTTAAATAGGCGAAAAAAATCCTTTAGACGATTAAATAAGAATAATGGAATTGGATCTTACGGAAGGTCTTTGCCACCTAATTCTACCAGAGCAGGATCGACTGTAATAAATAGAAGAATCAGAAGCAGGAAAATCAGGATCTTCGAATAGACACCCCGATTGCAGGCAACGTTCTCGAATCTTTTGGAAATCTTGGACTTCGCCTTTAGGACGGAAGCCGGATCCTCGTTCTCCATACTGAAAATACATTTTTCACACATTTTAAAAACATCACTTTTTTTACACAGAAACTTTACATTTCCCTTAATAATAACAAATTAAACAATTTAAAAAACAATTTTCTTACGATTTCTATGATTTTGTAGGGTATTTTTTCTTCGTATAATCTTTTCTTTGGTGTTTACTTACTTATTTATTTTATTATTATATGTTTATTTAGAATAGTTAATCTATCAAATTCTATCATTTTTATTTGTTTTTATTCCAAAATTTTCTTTTCCATCAGTGTCATCCATAAATTAAATTAAAATTATTTATTCAAAATATTTTCATATTTACACGTTTCTAAACACATTTAACTAGCTTCTGATCACCTTGCATTCAGTNATAATAAAAAAAAAAAATGGCGCACTCAGTTCTGATTTCCGGGCAGCAGATGTTCGATATTGATATTAGTAAGTTTATTTATGACGTGCGACACCATTAAAATAATTTTATTTATATTACGAACAATAAATGATTATTTATAAACATTATGTTAATTTTTTTACTGTGTAGGTAGGTCATATGTCAAACACAAGCATGTTTTATAAAAATTTGGGATTTTTTTTTTTTTTTTTTTTTAAATTTGGAGTCTCANTAAAACAGTATAAATGTTTTTTTTTTTTAAATTTTTATATTTGGACCAAAAAACTTACATTTATTTAAATAATTTTTTTTTTAAAAAAATAACATTTGATAGGAGGTTGGATTAAAGGTTTCGAACGAAATCGGTTAAATAAATAGTATCGTAATCATCAAATATAAAAAAGTCTTATATTTAAAATTAACAATTCCGTTCAAAATTTTTATTTTGTCATTTAAAACTACATACTTAAGTCATATGAAACTACATACAAATGATGTAAAAATTTGTATACCTCACAATTCAAAATTTTTTCATCTGTTATTAAATAAATTTATAAAATTATAAATAATTATTAATTATTATTACTTGGAATTACTTTTGGATGAATGAATTTTTTAAATGTGTGCAAAAAATTATTCATTCGCTTAAAAACTGCAGTCAAATAAGCAAAAATTGAAATTTAGATGAAGGGATCCAAACTTTAGACCGTTTTTCCTTCGTATTTAGAGGGTAAGAGTACAAATCCATGGGGGAAAAAAAGTTCATTACATTTTTGGGTCTGATTTGTAACTTAAAATAACTTGCTGTTGTAGTTCATTTGCGTCACACTAGAGCTGCCCAATGGTCGGGCGACGGTCTGGGAAGCATCCCTGAGGATGATCCGAAGACGAGCCATCACAATTTTTGATCCTCTGCAGAGGGGAGGGCACCCCCGCTTCGGTAGCCCGACGACCTACAAGTGAAGTCGAGCATTTTACGGTAGAATAGTTTAACGAGGACCCATACCGCACACCCTCGGTCCCTACGCAGACTAATACAAGCGGTCACCCACCCGCACTTTGACAGCAGCCAGTGATGTTTGACTTCGGTGATCGGCTGGGAGCCGTGTATTAATGATCAGTCCACTGCTAAAATAACGTTAAAATAATATATAAGATCCTACAACTTAAAAATCCGATCATTACATCAAAAGTTATTCAGGGTTTTTTTCTGTTCTGTAGGTCCAATATTTTTTTCGATCAAAATGGAACATAATAAAAATTCCTTTAAACAACTGATGAATAAATAATTCAGCGGTAACTATAAATATAATATTAACGGTATTTTTTCGTATTATTTTTATTCATTTACTGGTTTTAAATATAAACATATAAAAAATGTAAATTGGCATATTACCTTTTCTACGCTTAATGAAATTGAATACTATGAAAAATTTTATTTTATTTTATATATTTATTTATTTTCACGATAAATTCGCATTCATGGTTTAACAACGCTTTATCAAAGCATTTTAACAACACTTTGTAATTGTTTCTGTCTAAAATTAATGAAAGAATGTATCCATGTTAAGAAGCTAAAATATACCTTAGAATTTATGTCCTAACAACTACCTTAAAATAATTAATGAGAGTTAAAAGAATTTTTCATTTTAATATTAACCTCTGTATTCATGGCATTTTATATGACTTATGATATGATGCAATATTCAAGGAAATGATTATTCATGTTTTTCAGTAACTAAAAAAACTAGCAATGAATCAGAATTTTTTATTTATTTGTTTGACAACTACTTTAATAAGTACAGTAAATTTTCTTTTAAAAAACTACATTTAAAGTGTCATTTTTAAATTAAAAGGCTATGATGTGGAAATTTTACTATAATATTAATTATACTTAGTTATGAAATAAAAAAAATAATTTTATTTGTTTTATTTAGCTGTATAATTTAAAATAAATAAAATACAGGGCTCTTTGGAGAAATATTGTGAAGGGTGGATGATTTCCCAACAATAATATTATACAATTTTCTTTTTCTGACAATTTTCTTTTCTTTTTTGATAGTTTCCCAATTTTTATATATATTTTAAGACCGTACGTCTCTCACTCTAAAATAATTCCAATGTTAAAATGCTAAATTTTAAATACTACGATTCTTACAATATAACATAAACTAACGGAATTAATTAAAACATAATTTTACTTCGTTAAATTTTTGAAGAAATAATTAATATTGACTCTAAAATATTGTACTAATATAGTAAAGTTACTGTTATTCTATGATAAAAAATCTTTTTAAACTAAACTAAACTAAAAAATAAAAAGTAAATTATTTTCCCCAAAAGTCAGCTGTGAGCCAAGGGATCGTGAAGGTTAAAGCTCCATGATTTCGAGACCAATAATATAATTACGATAATGTGGTCAGCATTACGCACCGGCAGTCTTTACCTCCCAAACAAGCTGGTACCCACCAATATGAAGCTATGGGCTTCACTGAGGATCGAGCACCAATCCTTCACAATGACAGCTCAGTTCCTTTAATCACTGAGCTATCACGTTTTATATTTATGCTTCTAATGTTCAACTCATTAGTCTTGTCATTTTGAACCCAATCCAGAAGACACGGGAACTCATGGATCAAGTATCAGGAGAAAATTGCCTTCGTGGAGGAATTTTTGATGGAACTAACCCGCATTTGAGTTACATTGAGAAGAAAAACACGAAAACCTCCAACGGTTAGCTTGACGGCAATGGGAATAACCCATGTTCAGTCTAACGTCTGCATTGCGGTCAGTGCCAGTCATGTGCAGCATGCATTCGTATCGACCAGCCATCGCTGGAATTAGAACCTGGTTCACCTCATTGGAAGGCGAAAGCTCTATCCCCTGAGCCACCATGGTTCGAGCCATCACGTTTAAAAATTTGTTTTTAAATATAGTAACGAATAGTGCGTACGAATAGTAACGAATAGAAAACATAAAATCTTGTACTTAACAGCATAAAAATTATTCAGAATAGAAAGCAACAAAAAAAGTTAATTTTAAAAAAATCTTTAAAATTGTGGTCTTTGAATGCAATTACACGAACGAACTGAATTACTTATTCATTGTGTTGCCCATTCATTGATAACTTTCTTTTTTCACTTATTATTCTTTTTTCTTTATTCACTCGCTATATCAAGTATTAATCATAGAAATTGTTTCTGTAACTACGCGCAATTCGTAAAAAGACGAAAGCTGATGTTCGAATCCTCCTTCCCTAAACGAACATAGTTTAAAAAACCTATAAAAAAAAATAAACGATACATTTGAAATAAATTGTTTCTTCGACTGAATTCTTGATACAATGTCCATTAGAATTTAAAAATAAACTACAGTGATTTAATATAACGTCCTTGTTCTTTTAATATTCACTAGCGGCAAATTTTAGTACTTCAAAGAGAAAATAAGAGTGTCAAGTTATGATAAACGATGCCAATGAATTTATGACATTTAGGTAGACTTAGAATGAAGAACGCTTTTGTAGATTTATTGAACGTTTTATGTGATTCAATAAAATAAAAATATTAATGCGCTATTTTGGACATTGCAAAAGATAAATACCTCGTTATCGAACAATATGCTTATTTATATAGAAATATTTAAGACGCTGTTTTATTGTCTAAAGATTTTCGCTAAAAGGACTAATTGTTTTCCATATAAGTGAATGAAACATAACGGCTCCTAGGGGATAGAGAAAGTGCCTCGTTTAAAGGCCCTTTTTATGTTAGTTTATTTAATAACCAGCCCAATTTTGAGTTTACGACTACCAATGCTCAACTACGCAGCCTTGTAATTTTGAACCCAATCCAGAAGACAAGGGAACTCCTGGATCAAGTATTGGGAGATTTTTTAATGGGACTAACCCGCATTTGCGTTACATGGGGAAGAAGACCATTTAACGTGCATCAGTAACCATTTACTACACGGGGAGAGTTCGGACTGCGGGGATCGAACCCACGAACTCTTGGACATGGGCGAAGTGCCCTACCAACCAGGCTATCCCGGCCTGCTAGAGGGTTTTGTCGCAAATAGCTCGAAAAAATTTTGCTACATGGTTATAGATAAACTATAAGCCTATGATGTAAACTATAGGAGTAAACTACAGGCCATTTGCTCTAAAATTCTATTTACACAGAACAATACAAATTCAAAACACTCACTTTTTTTATGAATTGGAATGACGTTCGGTTCTTATTGAAGTACGTCACCACTTCCGTGGGCATCTTTTATTTTGGATGGTGCGTCACTACACATACAATTCCATAATCTTTAAACCACGGCGCGCCTCAATTGCCGGTCCGGCGGGTAAAGATTTGCCGTACGTAAATCAAATCCTCCCGTATGAAATACGCAGTATCCTCTGGAGACGATGATTTTTATGCGACTTCCTCTTTCGACTGGAGTGTGCGAGGACGAAGACCAGCATTTCTCATTCCGATAGCCTCCGCAAAAAAAGATATTGTTTATTTGTTTCTTTTTTTTTCCTTCCTCTTTTCACGATTCAATAGACTGGTTCATGCAAACTACACCTGTTCTGTTTTTTCTCCTTCATGTGATCTCGCGTTATCTTT